GTGCAAGTGACGTGCAAGTGATGTGCAAGGTCCTGCCTCATGCCCTCAAGGTTCCCTGTAGTGCGAGATAGATTTAGACCATACAAGTAGCTTTTCATCATGTCGGTGTCCAGTTTCGAGAGCGATGCTGCCTCTGTATCGGACGTGCATTCTTCCGACTTTTCGTCAGACCTTGCAGCATCAGACCAAGAACGTGATCAACATGTAGATGCGGCATCAGGTGTTCCTTTTGCCAGTGATCCAGATTCGGCTGATTTTGATCTTGATCATGAGAACATCAATGCGTCTTCATCCATCGACAGACAGTCTGCGTCTTCGTCCTCTGGTCGATCAGTTCCTGTCCTAAAGCCGAAGCAGTCAGTTGCAGAGCAGACCAACATGTTGCAGATGGACCCACCGCGGAAACGCAAACTTCGCATGATCGATGAAGGACCTGACGGTGTGCGCATCAAGATTCGTACTGCACCCAGTACCCAATTTCGTCGCAGAATGGAAGGCACGAGAGTGCTTGGTGACGATTTCTACATTCACAACAGAGCTCAGTTCATTCTCGATTTCTTGAGACAGCATGGCCAACGCATTGCCAAAGAAAAGCAAGGCCCTAGGAAGCGTTTTTCGTCCACTTTAAAACTTGTGCAGTACGTTCTTGACCGAAAGTGAGAGATTGCACAAAGAAAGTGAAAGAAACTAAAGAGTGCGCGTGTGCAGTGCTGTGCATCTTCAGGTTTCTGCATGAGCCGTCTTGAGTTGCAGCATTTGACATCCAGTGAAATTGTGTAGGTTGTCCAACATGAAGCGCAAGGCCCGCGAAGCCAATTTGCCTTGGAGTACGAGCCGCGACTACATTTTTCGGATGTGGGTTCGTGTATGCAGTCGGGCAACCGGACACGAGACCATCACTCTCCACATCCAGTTGTCAATCAACGATTCCATCAACGTTGCCAAATACCTTGTCGCGATGCAGCTCTGGGAGAAGTTCGGCTGGTGGCCTAGGTTGCACACCTTCCAGCTTGTACAAAACTTTCGTCATCTTCGGTTTACAGAACCTGTTACGACTGCTCAAACCCTCGAACCAGTCGATTTCGTTGTTACGGTATAAAAAGAGCCCACCTCTGTGTCAAGTCAAGAGCAGTGACGAGCAAGGGACGTGCAAGCGGATTGCAAGTGATGTGCAAGCGGATTGCAAGTGATATGCAAGGGTGTGCGAGGTTTGTGCAAGTGCAGTGCAAGAAATGTGCAGAGTAACATGTCAGAGACGTGCAAGTGCTGAGCTGTTGTGAGCTGCTTTCATCAGACATCCAACAGAGTTTTGTTTCAAGCACTCGGAAAATTGTGTAGACCCCGAACATCATGGATTGGGCTGCTTCTGACGTGCTCGACAACATCTTGATGTACGTGTTGCCGATCAGAACCAGAATCACATTCATTACCCGTCTCGATCCAAATGATGACCCAGAAGAGGCACAACCCATAACCGACACCATGGTGGCGTACACTTTCCTGCGACGTGGGATACAGGAGTTTCGGCTGTCCTCTTCGGTTGAGTGGACCATGGGCTTTCAGTCTTTGCATACCACCATCCGTTTTGCACAAATCAATGCCGTGGCATGCACCATGTTGAGCAGCCCGTCAAAAAGGTGGATGAGAGCTGTCGTAGACCTAGTACAGGAGCGTTTGCGAGTGAGTATTGTGTCACTGGCCAGCGTTGCGTACCAAACTGCAACTCAGTGTTGCATGTACTTTGATGCTGATGCGGAAGAAGCAGAAGTTGAATTGCACTTAGTGCATAGACTGCGCTTCCTGAGGTTTCGTAGCCCACTTTCCTAGGTTTCTTGAGCATAAGACTTTTCCATGAAATTCAGTGAAAAAGCAGCGCGCAAACACTGTTTACATTGCAAGGTGAGTGCCACTGTCCTGCAAGTGCTGTGCAAGCGATTGAACAGATGCAATGAGCCCGGTCGGGCTTGTGTGTGTCCATCCCTGTTTCGAAGGGTAGGTAAATCTGACGTGATTGAGCAGGGGGCGCAAGAAGCATTCTGGAGTCTTGCGCCAATGAAGACGCTCCAGTTTGCTTGTGATATCACGGGAAGACGTTCCTGTGACGTACCTGCACAACGGCCGCCCGAAATACCCCAAAGACGCTGTTGTTTCACAGTTGGCCGAAATGACAAGATCTAATAACTTCAAGCAGCTGACTCTTCTGACTTTGAGAGTGTGATTCGAGACCTGCGACACGATGTGTCAAGTGTGTGTGTATGTATGCAGAAGGATTTCCTGTCTGAAACCTGACAAATGATTAGGTGATAATTAGTCCCGCAGGTGGATCTCCTATATTTCCAGATTAGGCGATAATTGGTCCGATAGCCCTTCATTATAGTCTACAAGGATTGGTCCCATTCGTTTGACCCGAACCCTCACTTGGCAATAGCGGTTGATCTGTTTCTCTAGACCCGAGTCGTCATCTAGGCGATGGCGGTCGCGATGGCACACGTATTCATGTATGCATGTCTGCATGCATGCACGTACGGGAGATCAAGAGATCTCCCGACCTCTCACTCGGCGATGGCGGTCCAGTTCATGTACTGATCCCGATCCGTCATCTACGCGATGGCGACAAATAAAAATCACATTTGAAGTTGTCTTATCAATAGGCGGCAGCGCGTGTATGCACGTGTGCATACATGCAAGTATGCATGTACATATGTATGTATGTATGTATGTATGTACGCATGTATGTATGTACGCAAGTGAATGGTCCCGTTTCGTTAACCGACCCCTCACTAGGCGATGGCGGTTGATGTCATACATTAAACCCGATCCGTCATCTCAGCAATGGCGGTTGATAACACATTTTACCTGCGCTCCCTCGTTAGGCCATGGCGCATGCATGCGTGTATGAAAACGTGCAGCAGAATGCCTGGATGCGTCCACACAGGTGGATCTACTATCTAAAACTTGAACCCTCACTAGGCTATGGCTGCTACGGTTGGTCCCACTGTCGTTTCATACCCTAAACCCGATCCGCCATCTGCGTGATGACTGTCGGCACAATATCTTCTGCGGGCGATGCAGCATGTAAGCATGTATGCATGCATGCATGCATGCATGTATGCATGTGGATCCCATTGCTCTTTAACCCGACCCCTGACTAGGCGATGGCGGTTCATGTCATACTGAAACCACATGAACCCGACCCCTCACTAGGCGATGGCAGCTGATCTCATATAATATCTGAAAATTTAACCCGATCCGTCAATATCACTACACGATGACGGTCGATCTCGTATCTTGATTTCGTTCCCGTGTTAGGCGATGGCGCTTTATCCACATGTTGAGCCCGAACCCTGATCAAGCGACAGCTCTTGACCCCATACTCTATTCCCGACCCTTAATTAAGCGACGGCGGTGGATCCCCCAACTTAAACCCGAAGCCTCATTAGGCGATGGCGCCTGATCTCACATCTTAAACCCGACCACGCATCAAACGATATTGGAATCATGCATTTGGTCCAGTGTCGTGAACCCGGCGGTTGGTGCCATATATGTACCTTCATGCTTAAACTTCATTATACGCGATGGAAGTCGCTCCCACATCTTAGAATCTTACACTCGCCCGCTCGTTTGGCTATGGATTTGAACTCCTCGATGGCGCTTGATCCCATCTGTTTAACCCGACCCCTCACTGCGATGCGATCGCGGTGCCATATCTTGGACCCGACAGGAACGGGACACCTCAATCAGGCGATGGCAGTTGGTGCCACATCTGGACGAGGTGATTCCGGTTGATTTCAACGGGCAAACCGACTCTTCGTCACATGATGGCGATCGATCTCACATCTTAAACTCGCGCTGTCCTTAGGAGATGGAGCTTCATCCATACGTTTAACCCGAACCCTCGATTTTGAAGGTGATGGTCCTCATCCAGCGATCGCAGTTGGCCCCATATCTTGGCTCCCATGTCTTGACGTCCCCCCTCCCCGCATCAGTGAATGGCGGGAGATCCTATCTCTGACAGCCGACACCCACGCACCCTTTACTCTGAACGCAGCCTGCTAACCCTACGCATGAGCCGGAGTCCGAAATCATGACACCTTGGGGTCTTCGGACGGGGTCCACCTCTTCATGCAGCTCGGTACATGCGCAAAGGCTAACAACACCAGATTCAGTACTTCATTGGCTCAGACGGTGAACGATGCTCCAAAGGTTGAACCACCGCCAGTTGCATTGCTAATGCATGCCATGGTCTACGGGATTAAGAGGGGTCAGTGCTACCGCCTCCTGAAGCCAGCCGTGTGTGTGTTCCCATAATGACTTTGAGTTCTGTCCGGCTCATGCAAACAGCTGCTCATTGCTAAGAAGGCTCTACTGGTGGCGGGAAATATGCCAGTGCAGATCACCTAACAGTGATGGAGCCCCTCGAAAACCACGACGACCATGACGACTACAAAGACCAGACCAGGACGACCAAGACGACCACGACAACCAGGACCACCACGACGATCACCATGACCGGGACGACCACGACGACCAGGACCACGAGGGGACCACCAGGAGATCAGCAGCAGATCCCATGACACCACCGAGGAGATTGGAAGGCCACCGGAAGACTACAGGACACCCCAAAATCGTGCCGCCCATGTACAGCGGATTTAAAGACATTGCCAACATGGTTCCCCCTGCTGCCGGGATTCAGGGGCCGGGGTAAAGTAAAGGATTCGGAAATCTGGCCTTCATTCAGAGACATGACTGACACACTTCCAACGCCTTGGCGAGATTGAGACATTCCGAGGACAGAACGAGCCCTTTGATTTACGATGACTCGCGTGCTCGATGGAGACTGTATGAGTATTTTTGGGGAATGAATGCACCGCACCGCAGAGGGACCGCACCAATCGCAAGAGCCCCGCAGTGCCGCGCTGCAGGGAAAAGTCAAGTCTTCGGGGTAAGTCTAGTTCGAAAACGTGTGTGTTCGTGTGGCCCTCCGATCGGAAGCTCCCGTCCTCGGCGGCCACTCGCAGCATGTCTGTTACAAACTCGGCCGACTCCTCGCTGCATTCGAGATGTCACCGAATTCGACCGACGTCACGCGCATCGATGCTCGTCCTTGCTCAAAGGCTCCCACGACGGTGGATCAAACTCCAGCGGGGCGCGCACATTGGAGGGGGGATAGAATGGTTCCTTAACTTCGAAACGCAGCAGCCTGTGTGCATGATGCCGGTACTGAATCACAGCCTCGGTACATATCCAGCAAGGAGCGTAAATATGATGACGCCAAGGGCAAAAATGTCCACCGGTCTGCCATAATCCTCACATCTTACGGAAGTCGATGTGCATCAAGCAGCATGCGACATGATGCATCATGGACAAACGAACGGGCCACCTGTTCAGACAGGATCTCTGGCGCCATGTAGCCATGAGAGCCTTGTAATCCTGGTCCGCACTAGTTTGAGCTCTTGCCTCTGCCGCAGCAACGCCGAATGGGCTGAGGCTCTGGACCAGCGAAGTGGCAGAGGAAGGGTGCCTATCATTTCGTTAGCAGCCACCGCTTCAGAATGCAGCTCGGGACAAGTTGCCTTTCGCGGGCACTCACGTGCAAGGCCGAAGTCACCCAACTGAACGACCAACCTAGAGAGCTGCCGATGTTCAATCTCCGAACGGAGCACTATCTCATGCGCATTGTCGCATTTGACAGTCGACCCGACTGAGAACCCATCCCTGACCCTGCCGGAACCAGGAAGATGTTGCGCGGCTTGACGTCGCCGTGCAGTATGTACAAATCCTGCCGTTTGGAGCAGCCAGGCTCGTGGCCTCGCTTTCTGCCACGATAGACGATAGTCCGCCTCGTGAAGATAACGAAGGCCTGCCGCACCCGCAACAGAGGCAGCAAGTCTCTCTAGTTGTGACGATAGATACTCATGCTAGCGACGCCTTCCAGAAGTTGCCCACACAACCTGGCGGCCTCCGTGCGATTTCTATTGGTGGAATGATGGAATTGCAAATTCGCAGCCTGCTTCTCGGACAGCATGCCCCGGGGTCCCATGGCCTTGGTGGACATTCTCAAGCCAGTCTGCAACCGAACAAGCCAGACACATCCCGAGCATCTGACCGCATGGAGATCGCCTCCAGCAGCAAAGGGCATAACCAACACAACCTGCAACAAGTGAGTCGATCAAAGTCGGATGAACTCCCTTTTCGATACCCCCTTACTTGCCTCCGAGGGTGTTTCTGCTGCATACAGTAGCGGCCTTTGCTGTGAGCATCATGATCGAGAACGTGGATGATGTCTATGCCTGGACTTGGAAATGGACCTCCGCTTTTGGCGCAAGAAATCGAACACACGACCAAAAGGAAGCTTGAAACCTCCTCTCCCACTCTGAACCAGTTGACCCCTCGTGAATGATTCTTGTGCCCGAAGCGATGGCAGCCTGCAGACGATGCTGCCTTTGTCGATGGTGGTGGTGATCGTGGTGGTTGTGGTCCCGGTGATGGTCATGGTCGCGGAATGCCACAGCGGATTTTTGGCAGTGGGTCCACACCCAGCCAGCCCAGCCAGCGAAAAAAGGCTGCATTTTGACGTTCCCATTCCGAAAAGTGCAGTGGTAGTGTCAGTATCAGTATAGACAGTATAGAGGTGTGGATGCTATGGAATGTAAGCTCTGGACACAGTGTTGTCGTGCGCCAGCTGACGTTGTATCTGGATTTCCTCTACAACGAGTCTGCTGCATTCCGCATTTCTGAGCCAACGGGGCGCTTCCTCCTTGATGGTTGCCACCTCTTCTGGATCCTCATCCAGTCTGGCGGCCTTCACACAACACTTTGTCTCCGTGTGATGTGTGGCGTCACGAGCCGGTGGTGCACAGGTGCATCTCTTTTTCTGGCTTTGCTTGTTGACCTGCTGGGTGGCTTAAGTGTCTCTCGAAAAGAATGTGGCAACCCCTGACACGCAGGTGTGACACTTTCGGCAGCTGCAGCATTCTCTACAGGGCCATTCCGTCCAACAGCGGCACGTCGCAAGCCTCTGCCATATTCTCGGTATACTGCCGGAGCTTCTCCGGCCACTTTATGCCCTTTACGAGCGTAAGCCTCCGCAAAGTGGGGAACAAAGTGATATCGTCGTAGGAATAGCCACCTTCGTTGACGGAGGATGAGCTGTGGAGCATCTCACTGAGCTCCGGGAGCTTCGCATTGAACCTTGGAGTCGTCGCACAGAAGCCCTTCACTTCTTTCTAAAGCCGCTTATCCTAACCTGCAGTCTTAGAGACGCTGCCAGGCTAACCGAGAAGCTCTTCCATCAGGGGTTCGCTTGTTGCAAGTGCTTCCTCGAAGGTCATGCCAGAGAGCTGGTGATTCTTGACCCAAGTGGCGCGAGCATCTTTGGTAGAAAACTCGGGGTACAAGGCCATCGCATCTCTAGGCCTCGTGATCTTGCGCAGGAGGTCTTTGTTGTCACTCAGCCACTTGGCAATGTCTTCGCGGCCGGCTGCCTTTGCCAGAAGCGGAGAGTCGTCCAGGGCGTCGACCTTGGGTGCCGGGACGCCTGCACCTAGCTCTTTCCCTTGACCGAAACAGACGAATGTGAGCTGGGACATCTTGGCAATGCCCGGCGCCTAATGAAAAGTGACAAAGGCCGAAGCGTCATTCAAGCAGCAAACAAGACGCTCTGACCACCCACCTATTCAGCACAAAGAATACCACTTGCAAAAGCAACGACCTTTGCAACGATGTCCAAGGACTCGCCCATAGCTTCGCCGTCAATCTCCATAATCGGGAGAACCTTTTTGCCAATCATCTTGGTAGGGGTGACAACATCATCGTTCATCAAGAAGTCCAACTTGAAAGGTGTTTTCTTTAAGCCGAAAATCATCCTTGCACGCACGCAGTATGGACAATGGTCGTAGACATACAGAGTAGGAACCTGTGTCTCAAGCTCTTCGGCGGTCGCGGAACGACCCCACTCACCAGTTGCTCGCCTCACCACAGCCGGAGGCACCCAAGCCGGAGGCCTGAAGCCCCAAGCCAGGAGCGGGAGAGCAAGAAGCCCAAGGACGCATCCATGCGGGGGCCGCCACGAGGGCCGCCGCGAGGGGCGTGAGGCGGAGGCCTGCAGCCGGACCATGGCGGGTTTTCTTCTGCCGCTTGAGCAGAGTTTGCAGCACGGCGGAGTCTCGGCGTCTGCACATCAGGGATCTGAACACACAAGCCTCGCCTTGACAACAACGCGTTGATCCCGGTCCATATTATGGCCCAAGAGGACCAGGTTGCAGGCATCGCCCTGCACTCCGCCGAAGGCTCAGAAAAACTGGCAAGACAGCGGCTGACTGGGCTGCCCCACGCCACCGTGGCGCCCGTCATGCAGCACACGGAGCGCCCCCTGTAGAGAAGTCATACCGGCTAGCGGCTAGAGGCGACGCAGCAAGGCTCCGGACCTTCAAGTTGAAGTTGCCACTCAATGAAAAGGATGGTGCACATTCGCACCATGGACAGACCTCTAGCTGCAAGGCGGAAGAGCAGTCGGGCTCTGACTCCGTGCAAGATCGGCACCCTGTCACATAGTGACAACGCTTTTGTGCAAGATCGGCACACCACCTGCATCTCAGGATCTCCAAACATCTCGACACTCCAGTTCATGCGACACACGTAGCCACACATGACTGCCGCCTCTGCTTTATGCACAGACCTTTCAGAGTTCACCTCTCGCGAGGAACCATCAGATGCAGCCTGAACAGCTCATGACTCAGCTTGCCGAGGTTGCCCCTGGTATTTTAAGTCCCACCTTGAACGAAGCCGATGCCTTCTTTGCCGGCAAGTCTGGCTGGAGAACCCGCTTTGCCTTCCCAAAGTATGTGTCGTTACAGACAAGGTTGCTTGCCGTGCAGGATTGAGGCGCAGTCAGAGGAAGATGATGCCATTGCAGCAACTGCAGCGGCATGCCAAAGCTTCGATGGGATCCTATCTGTGGGCTTCCCCCAGCGGAAAGTCGGAGCTTCGTCGGAAGGCTTAACCCTAGGACCATGGGATTCTGCAGAAACTAGCACGTGCGAGCTTGAACTGAATTCCTGCGCAGATTGGCAAGACGTCGCATCTCCGTGACGTGCCATCATTCAAAAATGTCTCAGGCCTTGCGAGTTCGCGGCGGAGCCTGCACCAGACTGCAGTTCACAATCCCTCAAGCAGGAAATTGCCAACGACAGTGGTTCTGTCTGTGCCATGACATTAAGAGCCCTCGAATCCGGCCGGTCATCGCATCATTTCCGCAAGGATGCAGGATGCCTGGTACTTGAAGCTGGTGGATGACTTGCATAACCATTGCACGACCTTCGTCCATTCAGCTGGGCAGGGCTGGGCAGGACAAGGAGGAGGCCCGAGGCCCCAACACTTCCAAGCCGCGGCTCCGAGGCAGCCTGGCACTGGCAGACTGGCAGTGTCTCACCAAGCCGCTTAAGGCAGCAAGCAGCAGCTTCGAGCCTGGGAAGTCTCCCCCAAGCGCCCCAGGGCACCGCGCAAGAGGCCCAGCGCCTCCTCCTGGCTCCAGAAGAGCCAAGGAGCGAAGAACCCGCCCGCTCGCAACTAGACAGATCGCTGACCGGCCGCTCGGCCGCACCTCGCTCGGCTTGAAGTGCGCCCAAGCACCGCGAAAGAAGAGGTACTCCGTCATCAAGGTTTCCCTCACACAGGCGATGACCTCCTGAGGGCACCAACAAGCAAAGGCATTCGAGTCTCCTGTCTTTTCGACAAAGTTGCCCGATCCTCGGAAGGCGCGATCTCGACGACCGGTGCTGCCGAGGCAGCATCCGACCCTTTCACCTCGTCGGCTTTAGCACCAGTACGCCCAAGAATCAACAAGAGCCCAAAACAATCTCAACTGTTGCTCTGCTGAGTGCCGTGCTGACACACTTTCGCTTGTAAACCTCTCCGACCTGCCAATCCGCCCGAAGCACCAAAACCGGACCCGGGTGTTTGTTTCGGTGGCAACCGCACAATGCCTACTACGGGTGCCACGAAGGCCTCTTCTTCTCGACGGCTGCTGTTGTGGCACCAGGCTCCACCGGCCTGTCTTGAGACTTCGTCTGGATACCCCCAAGCTGACACTGCTTGCGACGTGTTTGTGACTCGGAACAGGGCGCTCCATCGTCATCTGACGATGCCTCCTGAGGAGAAGAATCCAGCGAGTCCAGGGACAGATTGCCAGTCGCGCGCCGCACCTCGGCCGCTCCTTCTGTGTCTGGCAAGTTGGATCGGTACCTGGCAGGGCACTCTCGAACCAGCACTGACACCCAACAGTAAGCGGGCAATGCCCCAAGCAAACAACTCACAGGGGAATTGAGCAAGCTCTTGATTGTTCGATCAGGGAGGCCCGGAAGGACGCTAGATCAAATTTGTTACCCTCAAGGACCACACCACCTCGTTCCGCGTTGGAGTTGCCAACTTGGGTGCCCGGGTGGCCACACAACAATCAAAACACCCAGCTGCACAGCTTCGCAGCTCACTTGGATTTCGGTTTCGCCCGCGAGTGTATGGCACCTGGACCGTGGGACGACCTGGAGACCCGAACCAGCCAACGATGCCACAGGTGAAGATTGATCTGTGCTTACACTACTCTCCACGGACGATATATCTGGAGGAATCTGGCGGACACGAACACGTCAGCGACCAATCCAAACTGTCCGACTTGTACGGCCTGACTGAGGCATGCAGAAACCACCCATGGGCATTAAATCCATAGTTTCTACTAGCTCACAGGCTTTGAGCTGACAAAGACATTATGGCACTCACAGCCGAGTTTAGGTCGAGGTTCTGCACAGCAACGCACCGCTCCAAACCAATTGCAGGCCTCTGCTTGATCTGCCTTTCCTCCCTCGCTTTTTCCGCCATGCGATTCCATGCCTAAGCGAGTAGGCGGAAACGTGGAAAGAGCTCGAGGCTCCCCATCCGTTCGAGAGAGCGGATGCCAAGTGCCTCTCCTCGTCCTGCTCCACGGCTGCACGCTGCGCGTAGGCCAGCTGCTTCGCTTCCCTCTGCTCCCACTGAGCCTCGCTCCGAAAGACATCCCTCCCCGCACCGTCTCTTCTCGCCTGGGCCTGAGGGCCTGAGGGCCTGGCCTGCTTGCGTCGCAGCTTGAAATCGTATTCCGCAGCTTCTTGCCGGTACCTTCAAGGCAGGCTCCGCTGTGGTCACTGACAGGAGGCACTTGGCGGCACTTGGCCGTCTCTGTCAGAAGCCAGGTGAGCAGGTCTTCTTCCCTGAAAGCAACATCTTAGGCTGGCGTGCAAGAACATGCAGGCTCCCGGGCTTCTTCTTGGCTTCAACGGCTGCCTGTAGCTCAGAAAGTTTTGGCCAAGGGACTTTGCATTTGCATGGATTCGTTAGGATTCCGGCCGTGGTAGCTGCCTGCTCGTACTGGACACGGCGCTGTCGCCGCTCCCTCTCCTGTCCCACAATTCCAGGTGAGCAGGGTCGACCTGCCTGTTTAACGGTTTCACGTATGATGATCTCTGCCCCTGCACTGGACTCCAAACTAAACAGGCGCAGTGCATTCATGCACTAGACAAACAAACCTATGCACGAAGAATGGAACCGACGCCGTCCTAGCCAAGAGGACCAAGCAATACCGCTAGCCCGATCATCCCTCTGCTGGAGCTTCGGGAAATCTAGTGCCCTTTGAAGAAGGCTTCGCTTAGCACAACACACGAAGTAATCGGATGAGACGTTATGGGGAAGCCATCTCACGGGAATTTTCACACAATGCCACCCGTATGTTAAACGCAGCAGAAGCGGAGCCTGCCTTACGAGCAATGTCCGTCTGCCGCTTCGTGTCCCGAATCTTTTCCATTCCTTGTGGACTGTCCAAATGGCCCTAAGCCAGCAAGTGCTTGCGATACTGAGCAGGTCACGCTTGGCAGATTCGATCTGCAGGCGAGCCTCAAGACATCTCAGGACGACGGCTCTGGACACATCACGAATGCACAATGCAAGCCTTGCTTGGAAGCTTCTCTTTCATTTTCTCGTGAAGCTCCTGGCGAGAGTGCGAGCTGAAAAAGCCGAAAGACTGAAAGACCGGATGGCACCTTGAGGGTCGCAGCCTCAATGGTTGCAGTGTCACTTCCCGAGTGTTCGGACCTCAAACCGAAAAGCCAGGAGCTCAGAGATCAAAAAAAGTTCGCTGAGGGTTTGGGGACCGAACGTGTCGATGCCAATCCGCTGGAGGTTCTTCTCGAACCAAGCAATACCATGATCCTTCCGGGCCGAGACGCGGATGTTCTGCACGACCGATGCTCAGCAAATCAAGGTTGTGACAGAGCGCTTGCTCGTTATGAATGCGATTCGCCGCAGAGAGTGGCAAAGCAGAGGTCAGCGAGACGGCTGGCGCAGGGCGCCTGTTGCCCGAGGGGTTTCTTAGTGGGCCTGTCGGTCTTTTGGGTTCAGATCCTTTCCCCACCCCCCTGCCTTTCCCCTTTGCTGCTAACCCGTGTCAGGCTGCAGCAGACCAAGCGCCTGAAACGAATGTTCTGCACGCATTTCCAAACGCTGCTGTCCTCATCCCCTTCTCTGAAGCCACAGTCTTCAGCATAGTGTTCGCGGATGGCAACTATCCTGACATGATGGATGCATGTTCGTCATAGCGTCAAAGCACCGCCATTCCTCTGCTGATCTCTTCGAATCATCTCTTTCTCAAAGTTGAGGTCCTTAAAAGCCGCTTCTGCATCGCTGTGACAGAATAAATCGATAAGTCTCCAGCCTTCTCGAGCAGGTTGTACTTCTTCTCTTGCACACCCTGCAGTCTCGTGCGGCTTCCCAAGACCGCACGACACGGGCTGATGAGACCATGCCTGCCAGTGCTGCTCCCCAGCTTTCCTCGCAAGTTCCTTCTGAGCTCTGCTGCTCTCCCTGGCACCAAGGTCTAATGTGTGCTGACATGATGCGCTACACTAGCGGCAGAAATAAACCTCGCTGGGCCGACATTTTTCGCTGCTGAGCAACCCTAAACTCCTGCACATTGGCACTCCGTTCCACCATCTCCTGACTGCGGGCTGCGCAGCTGCCCACGGCCCACATCGGCAGACGTAGAAATCGGGGCTGTTGGTGAAGGCCTCGTACTCTTTCTCCCGGGCGCTGCGCAGCTGCCTGGTGTGTTCGTCCACGAAAGCCTCGTGAGGACAGGATGACACAAAATGACACAGAATCTTTTTGCGCAGGTCACAGATCGTGTGATGCCCCTGCCACGCCTTGTTGTGCACCTCGTAGGGATATCGCTGATCTATTGGGCGAAGGGTGTTCACCCTCTGGTCGAAGAAGTTCTCCTTGGGGCGAGTCGTGAATTGCTCGCATGCACAGCACCGCACTGCGCTGCGAGTGCCTCCTCTTCAGTTTTCACCTGCTTCTGCAGCCGCGGTCGTCCAGCACCCGCTGTTGCCTGCGGGTCGGGCAGTCTGCGACAGGTCGATGCACTGGCAGCTCTGAGCCTTGGCCGAGGGAACAGAGCCTTTGGCCTCCGACACACCAAACTTCGAGACAGCTGGCAGCTGTTGAGGCGTTAGACCCCGTCCTTGGTGCTGAGCACCCGCCGCAGCTGGTAGAGGATCCTGCAGGCGGCACCACAACAAGGCTTTGAGGACGGTGTACACACATGTACACCGGTACACCGCCCGTGTACTTCTTGGCCGAGCCACCGGAGAGAAGATCCGCGGTCTTCGTCCATGATCTCCTCTACCTCTCGGCTCTACTGACTCGACTAAGCGGCTCTACAGCAGTTGTCGTCACACGTATGCTACGCCACGAAGCTAACAAAGCTGCTCGGTTATGATTATTGCCTGTTCATTGGGGAGCTTCACGCCGAGCTCACCGACCTTGGAGCACAGCACTATCAGACTGTGGAGCCAAACTGGAAGTCCTGTGCCGCAGACAGCTTCTCTAAGGGCCTGCTGCACCATCGAAAAGTTCTGCCTCTGCCAGGTGCCATGCAACACCAAGCCGGGAAATTCTCTTGCAAGCCGCGCGGTCTCCCAGCATAGACCAGGCTGCCTTTTCGCAGCCAGGTGAGATTCATCCACGAATTCCTCCTGAGGGTGGCCAGAATCTGAAGCTGTTTCTGACAGCTTAACCGACGCAAGCCCTGCAAGCAAACGTGACGAGGGTGCCTCGAAAGCTTGCAAGAGGCCATGCTTGTAAAGCAGCTCCCCGAACAAATACCTGAATTGAGCAGCCCGGGTCTGCTTTTCCCAGACGAGTGCGACTGACTGGAATCCAAAGAGTCCAGTGGAACCTGTTCAACAGAAACACGCTTCACTTTCGCAAACACCCTCCCGGCTAGTCGGCATCTGCGCCCTCTCCCCTGCAAAAGTCCAGCACTGGAAGAGGTTCGCACCCGTTGGCAAAGTCACGCTCGAATATCTTGACCTCTCACGATGGCCCAGCTACAGTCACGAAGCCCTCCCAGTCGCGGAGCCACGGGAGAATAATGGCAACTGCTGCAGAAACGCGGGGTCTGAAAAAGCTGACGTTGTTCGTCCCGCATCCACATCGATGATAGAGAAGCCTACTTGTCGACTTTCATCAGCCCCGTTGCATCCAGTGCCTTCCGAGATAGGCAAACATCTTTGTTCAACCTGGACACCACAGAGGATAAACAGTTGACATTCAAGCACCTAAAGATGGCTGGGAGTCGCGCCAATCAAGCACCAGCTGAGACATGCTAACGAAAATCACTAAATCTAAGTCTGTGTAGGACTGAATCAGTGGGTCAGTGCGGTTGGCTAGTGGCTTGCTAAGAATTAGGCATAGTTAAGCGACAGAAGATATTGAGATGGGAGCGCGTTTTCTCAGGGTTAGAAACGAAGCTTGGCTCCCTCTGACTGATGTGCGGCTGCTATCCATGTCCCTCTTGCTCTCTTCCAAACGGTTGCGACAAGCAGCAAGCAGATCAATGGAGCAACGTCAACACCAAACAAAGCTGGAAGCAGCAGGCTGGTTCAAATGCTGACGTTTTGCTCCTCAGACGCAGGGGAAGTGAGGGCCGAATGGCCTGAGCTCGGCCGCTGCGCCTGCTGCGCTAAGCCGAACTCCGACTATGGCCGATCTAAGATGCTGAGACTACACAGCTCATGCCTCAGCAGCTCAGCGTGCTGAAACATCTGCCCCAACCGCCTTTGGAATTCTGCGATCGCAGGGCGGATTCGCGACAAACCGGCACAGCACAGCTACAGCACCTCCTGGATGCTGCCAAAGCCATCCTTTTGCAAGCACCGGCGAAGACCTTGCACAGCAACATACCGCTCCCCTCAAGCCGACCTCGGGTGCAGTTCAATTCTTGAGGCCTGTTTGGATATCTTCAAGAAGACCGGGACCCTTGTAGACCAAGCCGGTGTAGACCTCCGCGGGCCGGGGCAGACCGATGCTTCTCGTGGTGGTGAGAAAGCGAAAGAGAACTGCGGCAGTGTTTTCGGAAAACGGACACACCACCAAGAACGGAGATGGACAACACAGAATGGCTGAGTTTCTGCCAACATCGACCCTGCTTAGCTTCGGCGACCAAATCCTGGCTCCAAATGCTGTACATGCGGATGTGGCGATCTGCAGCATTGCCGGTGGTGGTTTAATATGCAGCATTTCTGTGGAGCCAGAGAACTTCAAGAAGTAATGTACAGCTAGGCTAGACACCTCCTCTGGAGGAATACTTTCAGAACTTGAAAACAGGAAATGGCTATCAAAGCAGGGCTTGTGACCACAAACCGTCTGAAGACATGAGCCTGCCAAGCCCGACGACCTTACAGCCGAGAAGACAGGATGGTTGCAATCTTCAAGTCCGAAATCCCGAAGGAAGTCGCAGGTAAGCCAGCACAGGTCCAAACTGGAGCTGTGCCCAACAGACCCTGAACTCCCAAACCGCAGAACTCTGATGGCTTCCAGTTCAACATGTTCAAGATGAAGGCAGGGAGAACAGCCAACGCAAAACCCAAAGGAAGCCAGCGGCAAACGTCACACCTGTCGTCGTCCAAATCTTCCATGTTTTTTCTCGACTTCCTGACCCGCCGGTCCAGGTGCACATACGCCCGAATGTAATGCACCACAGGAACCGGTCAGCGCGCGCCAACACATATGTGCCTCCCATAGGCTAAACCTTAGCTCAGGGCTTAAACCCTAAAGCTTGTAGGCGTAGTGGCGCGCAAGAGCCATGCAAGAGTAAGCCTGGACGTAACGTTCAACCCCAACATTCGTGACGGTTTTTCATCAGCAACGCAGTGCTACATGTAGCGAGAAGTGTCGTGGTGAGTGTTTCCGAGACACACTCTAAACCTCCATTCCCCCACAGCCATACAAACAGTATTAATTAGCAATAATTGAGCACTGCCCTGAGCCGCAAACAGCGTCCAGAACACGCAGGAATGGAGCGCTCTCAAGGAACTCCGGCGGCAAGAGTAGAGCTGGAGCAAACCCTAAACATCCCGAAACCATAAGTAGTGAGATAACACGCAAGCGACACAGCACTGCAAACCCTGACAGTGAGAGCAGGCCTGAAGCAAACTCTGAACGCGACACCGAGTGTCAGCCGCAAAGTCCTACAGCAGTGCGCAGTCATGGAGAGCAGACCTGTGGGAAACCAGCAGGAAGCCTAGCCAGCGTCGGCCACGCAGAAGTACAGACAGGAAACGGAACCCTCAACTGTAAAGGCATGATGGCTTGCATCTTGCCAGCCTAAGAGCAGACTTAGTAAGACTGATAACAGAACAGTAGCTCAGTAGCAAAGCCTGTAATCAAAATGCAACGCTGCAAAGAAGCTTGCGTGTAGCGTGTACACTGATAGCTGTGGACAGCAAACGTAAAGAATGCAATAAAGCACGCAGAGCCGGCAAAGGAAGGACAGCCAGCCTCAGCCTGGCCCAGATGGGCACCGCATCTCTCACTGCTCGAAAGGACGCGACGTCCCGAACGTCAGGTTACAATCGTTTTTCGCGTAAGCTGTCTATGAGCGTTTCGAGACAACTTAAAGTTAGATGGAGGAAGAGGTATACACCAGGTCAGTAAATGGATTGGTAAGTATGATGCAGAAAAAGTACAGCCTTGTTCATCCAAGCACACAAAATCTTAGCCCTGTTTTTGAAAGCATACTTACTGATATATGTAATATTCACCGGGTTCAGCTGACCCACCCAAAAGCAGTCATTCTCGTCCGCCCCCTCGCGCACTCCAACATGGACTGAAAGGGAGTCCATAACTGAGCTGGCAGGAAGTGAAAGCGCTGGCCTCGACGAGACTTGCTCCAGCGCGGATCTTCTCGTACGCGGCCTGCGTGGGTTCTGCACTCGAGGCATTCTGCACAAACAGCCTTGGGAAGCAAAGATACCGGGGAGTTACAGCTTGCCTCAGCACTATCAGTGCCTCCGACGCCGATTATTGGCAGTCTCCCACCTTTCCGAAGCTCAGGAGCAAAGCTGCCTTGACCTGTCTGCGTAAACGCGCCTGTGGCTTCGAAAGCTGACCGGATGGCAGCAACACTCCGTCGATGTATGACCTTGCCGCTAACACCGCCTTTGCCGATGGCGTCCGCAGCTTGTCGTCCTGTGCTGGATAGCTGAGCCTCTGGGTTTTTGATTGTGTTTGAGATAACGAGGCCATCCACGACCTTCGAGTCTTCGATAACTCTCAGCAGCTCTCGCTGGCACGCTCGGCCATCGTCAGAGTCTGGGGTCGCCATGAGTTTCACCAGTATCGGCGGTGCCCGCTCCCACTGCATCTCTCGACTTTGTCTAGCAACGGCCTGCAAGAGATCAGACAGGGCACTTGGCTCCTCGAAAGTCTTTCCCTCTGCGGTGTTGGGACACGACACATTAATCACCACGAAGTCCGCCAGGGGAGCCAATGTCTTGAAGCTATGCACGAAATCCTCGACAGCGGCCGGCCCTACAATGGCGGGATTGTGCGTCTTGGCAATGTTGATTCCGATAGGAGCACCTCCTTCAACAGAAGTGAAAGTCTTGAGACGAGCTGCGACACACGCAGCCCCCTCATTGTTCAGGCCCATGCAATTGATGACTGCCTGGTCACTCGGGATCCGCCAACACCGTGGCCTTTCATTCCCTGCTGCCGGCTCAGCAGAGATGGATCCCACTTCTGCGAAGCCAATCTGCATGAAACCCAACCGGTATAAAGGAACCTTGGTAGGGAAAACCGGCATTGGAATCTGCACCAAATTACAAACCGTCAGCGTGCAACCACACCAAAAAAACACACAAAAGTATGGCGAATCCAACAGCAGCGTCGAGTGTAGCATTCTTGTCAAATCCGGCCGCAATTCCCACCGGCGTGTCCTGACGAGGCCATAGCACAAGCAATAGCAGCAGCGGCAGCAGTAGCAGCACTAGCAGGGACAGCAGTAGCAGCCGCAGGAGCAGGAGCAAGAGCGAGAGCAGTTGCAGCAGCAGCAGCAGCAGCAGCGCTTCAGCAGCAGTAGCAGCTGAAGCCGTCGTCGTCGTGGTGGTCGTGGTGGCGACGGTGGTGGTAGTGGTTGTGGGAATAGTGGTGGTGGTAGTAGTAGTAGTAGTAGCAGCAGCCGCAGCAGCAGCAGCTACTAGAAGCTAGTAATAGCTGGTAGTAGCTAGTAGTAGTTAGTAAGTAGCTAGTAACTAGTAGCAGTAGTTCGCAGGTCGGAATTCCTAGTCGGCAGTCAGTCGTCAGTTGTCCGTAGGAGAAGTAATGGTTTTAGTAGTACTACTACCAGGAGCGCTTGCACTAGTAATTGCTTGCACCTATACTAACTAGCACCTGTACAAGTACTAGTACTCGTACTCGTTCCAGTGCAAGTGTACTGGTGCACTAGCAGTATTAGTAGTAGTAGCAGCAGCAGTAGTAGTAGTAGTAATAGTAGTAGTAGCAGTAGTAGTAGCGGTAGTAGTAGCAGTAGTAGCAGTAGTAGCAGTAGGAGGAGGAGGAGGAGTTGAGGTACGAGCAATAACTAGTGGTAGGAGTAGTTGAACTCGTCGTCGTCGCAGCAGTAGGAGCAGCAGCAGCAGCACCAGCAGCAGGAACAGTGGCTCAGTATCAGTGTGATGCAGCATCGTTTCGCGCATTCACCAATCATCATCATAACGATGGAACTCACAATGAGCAGCAGCATCAGCAGATGCATGTCACATTTCTTCCTATGGCCATCTACATTCTTCGTCTGCTGCTATGCCTGAGGCTATGACGAAAACGAGTCGCTCATCGAAGAGCTCTTGCCGCAGATTTGGTCCGGACGAGGTGGACTGCGCTGCTGGCGGACGCAACAGCCAATCCTCCGTGGCTACTACTTGGGGACAAAACGAGAGACAGAATGTTAGCCCCGAGTATTGGCATAAAATTCATTCTCATCGCTCTGGTATGACAGCTGACGCAAGACTGTCTGAGTTTCGGGCTAGGGGCAATTTGGCGTGGGACGGTTCAAGCAGCAGCCGACACGCCTGGCAGAACAACGATGACCGCACCGGTCACTATACATTACTGTTACGTAGATGTTTGCGCTAGATGCCATGCGAGAATAGACTCCACACAAGCATATCCCTGACTCCTGTTAGCCTGCCTTCGCGAGGATTTCGGTACTTTCCAGCTTCATCGGGATTAGGCACGGTCACGAGCACGTGTACGCTGGTAGGTCTAGCTCGGCGTTCACTTCTTCTTCGGCAGGTCTAGGCAATTCTTGGCAGAATGGGTTCCTCACGAATCAGAGCCTACCGTGCCAGACACCGGCCTTGTCAGTGTTTTATGTCATGGTGGGCAGACTCGAATTCAAAAGCTTTAGGCTGCACGGCTCGCATCTTTCAGCAGCTACAAAAACTCAAAACTAGCCTGTCTTTAAAGGTCCACATATCGTTTTTGAGCACATCGCTTACAGATCAGAGTCGATCGAAGGCTGCCCAGGAAGTTCCCAAGGCAACTCCAAGAGTCTGCACCAACACGATGCCCAAGGAATGCCAGCACTCAAAGCTCGCCGAGAACCGGAGCTTAAGCCCCGAAGGAAGGGCACAGCGATCCGGCGATCCGATCTAAAGTGGACTTTCCGCCGGGCCTGCAGGACCTCCCCTGCTTGGAGCGTCAAGGTGTGCGCTGTTTCTGCATCCGTTTGCCTCTGGCGGGGGATCATCGCTAGCTCAACTCTGGCTTTGCCGGGCTACTGGCATGATGATCGGAGCCACCTTGCAGCGACATGTTGAAGCATGAGCACTGGCAATTGGTGCATTCGAGCTTCTGGCAAATGTCGTGTAGAGCCTCGTGGAAACGGACTCCCGCCTTGGTAACAGCCAAGATGCAAGCAACAAGCCACAAGATAACAACAAAGACGCACTTGGAAGCGGTCGCCATGTCCGGTGAGGCTTTAAGGGTGGGTCCATGACAAGCGGTGGTCCTCCTGATGTCTTGGAAGACGTTGCAGATATGCCTCCAGTTTTACGTCGAGGCTTCCCCCCCCCGGCAATTTTGAACAAGCAGTACCGGGGAAGTCACCCAGCCGAGAGTCGCGGCACCTCCAGCTTAAGGCCCACACTCGGTTCAGAGACATGTTGCTCGACTCCCTCACCTGTCACGCCCGCCGTGCGGAACGCTGCTGAGCGTAATGAGCGGAAAGCTGAACCTTGGGACACAAGAATCAGAATGACCGACATACAGCGCGCATCTCGAGGGCTCGACGGGCTGTCATGTCGCAGGCCAGTGCTGCAGTATGCCAGTTACTTGTAACAGCTGTACGCCGGTGGGTCTTCTTATGTTCAGGCTGCAAAGCGTTGTGGGTCCGACTGGAACTGGGCTGTTTGTACGGCAGATGCGCTAAAGACGGCCACATGCCGATTCTAGCATCAATTGTCAATAGCATCCTCGACTGCCGCCTGCCCAGAAATGCTCGTCAGTCTTCGGTCACGTGTTACAATCAGGCGAGGAAGTCTCACAGCTCCAAGCACTGTCGATCAACAGTGCTGTTAATTGGTGCTCTTACTTCAAGCACGGACACCGTGTGGAAGGTGAAACAGAGTTTGTCCACAAATCCGTTCTGCAGATGGGAACACCCACGGCTTCAATATGTCAACCACGATTCCGATGGAGCTCTCAAGAACATACGAGATGCAGTGTTTGGACAGGAAAAGCTCTTTCCCAGGCCAGCATGTTAAAACAGGGGCTGGGTTGCTACAAAGCAACTCTGCATCACATGGAAATGATGCGCACATTTGCATGGAGCATGCACTCAGTGCAGCTCCACCAAAAGCACGGTTAAGGTTGATGCTTAGGGGGCGTTCGTGTCAGTGTCTATCCATCGAACACGCCGACCGTCTGTCCATTCACCTGTTCATCGTCATCATGCTTGGGCCAAAGTTGCATCAGCCATGCCAGCCTTTGCGCTCTTCACCGGAAGCCGTAACCTCAGAAAACAAGCTCTGCAAGTAGAAAAAATCGGGACGGGGCCACGAAAAAGAACGAGAAAAAGCATTCCCATGAATCTTCAGCACAAACTGCATGTATCTGCTTCTCACTCGCCTTCTCATTCCCGAGAAGTTTTCCCACATTTTCCCACGCTCACGGCTGCTTCAAAGGCGGCACGTGAGCTCTGGACACGAAGGGTTGTCAGTCTTCGGAGTTTTTACTAAAGGTGCACAAAGCACCTGGCAACATTCGCTGTACTGCTTCCACAACGGGCGTGTGCTGCCTCCTTTCCGTCTTCTCATGATCGCGTTTGTTCAGCCCGACAAAGACGTGAGCATTCGGTTCCAATCCACTGCATTTCGCTCCATGCAGAGCCGCTGCATGCTAAGGTCAGGACGTAAATTCCAACACCATGCTGCTTGCCCTCCTTCCTGGCTTCGACAGGCATGCCAGGCTCTGACAACACAAAACTCCCAGAAAAGTACGGGCTGCAAAACAACTTGGGTCCCCCACCACTGTCCCTTGTACTTCCGTCCATCGGGCCAGTTAAATCTGAGATGGGCATTGCAAGACTCTCCTTCAGACGCAAAGTCGAGCTGAGGTCTGGGCGTTCCCTCTCCATCCTTTTGATCGTTCTTGTACTCCCCCTCATAAGACCGGCCATCCACCCAGGTGAAGTGGCCGTGGCCTTGACAAGGCCCCTCCATCCCGAAGCACATACATGGAAACTCAGCAAACACGATGGGGACCAAGCCGTGCATTCTGTTCTTCACCCACTGCCCCTCGAACTTTCTACCATCACCCTGACAGCATGACATCACATGGACCCAACACAGGAGTTTGTGAAACTTCGCAGGGAGCGCCCACTGGTACACGCCGACACCGTTGATGTCGTTGTCAACAAATTCTCCCTGCCATCAACTATGCAGCACAGAAGCCACGTCAGTCATTAAAGAAGCATGTGGCAACGACAGATCATAATGCCCTGTAAACACTTCTGAAAATTCGTCTGAGTGATGGGTCCCGTAACCCTGGCACTAGCGAGGTATGGCTTTACTCGGATCCCAGTTGCATGTGTAAGGGCCGCTCCAAGTTTGTGGATCGCCCAAAATCCCGAATATTCAGAACCCCTCTGTGGTAACTCTCTGCTTCTTGATCTTCTTCTATGGGCACCGCATGGCGCTTGTCCACCGCATCCCCCGCTTGTTTCCCAGCTCCTCCTGAATCCGTCTCTCGTGGCAGTTCCGCCGTGGGCAGTCATCAAGTGTTGAGTTCATGCCTCCCAAAACCTTTCGCAGGAATACACTGATCGGCTGCCGCTTTGCCAAGATTCTGAAACAACACCACTCCTGTTTCAGCTGGAGGTCCCCGGAGGAGTTCCGTCGCGAAGGCTCGTGTTTTCAGCCATCCTGGCCTCGTACTTGGAGCCATCCGACCACGAGAAGTGCCCTTTGCCGCTTTTCCTGCCGGCCTGATTTTTTCAATGTTCTGCAGGTTTCTCGCGTCAGCATGCTACCGTTAATGCAGGCCTCATACTCACCAACATACTTGGCACCTGCAGCAAGAAAGGAGTGAGTTTCCAGCAACTTGCTGGTTTGGACCGGGAGTCTGACCATCTGGCCAGATTTCCTGGCCGTTCCTGCGAGAAAACTCGAACTCAAAGTCTCGGCAAGGCCGTTGGGAACTAAGCCCAGGGCCCATGTTGCTTGTCATCGGCCTTCGTGGACTTGTCTCAAAGACTCGCTGTGAGGGGCCCGAAAAAGGAAACCTTTCTCAAAGCTCAGCTCTGGGCCCAGTTGCCCTCATACCGGGAGCCATCGGCATGGTGGTACCTGGACAAGTCCCGTGCTTGGCACCAACACAGCACTTTCCGGGATTCTGATTGAAGCTGGTTCATGGTGTCACGACACGTCAACCTTGCATGAGCGTTTCGCAAGTCAGAAGCGCACACGCCATAGCCGTGGGCTTTGTCGGACTTCCATTCGCCTTCATAGACCTAATACAGTATGTAGGCCACAATGGCAATGTTTGGAAGCTGCGGCGAAAAGCTCGAAACCACAGAGCAGAGGCTCGCGGCATCTCCATCCACGTGTTCAAACCTTCCCTTCCCATGGGCTTTGTCGGCTTCCTGGCGGCAAACGGCTGGTCGCTCGCAATATCAAGCTCCGAACCTTGTGCGTTGAGGCTGTGGCCCAGCTACCGGTGTACTTGGCACCATCTGGCCACACCTGCAGATACGCAAAGCACCTCTTCAAAACACACCGCACAACCTGGCCATACCGCATGCTGGTTCATGACCGCGGTGGTTATTACACGACGGCATGACTTCACATCAGGCTTCGATGTTTACTCAACTCTTGAGGAGGACGCGCTTCAAAAAACCGGAACCCTGCACAAGTCCTGCCGTCATGCACCACCGGCCTGCTCCCCTTGGCCGTGGCGTGAGTTGCCTCGGACCCGGAGGCAACCAAGCAGGAGGCGAGGTCAGCGAGAACGACGTTTGCATCCTATCTTGCTGTTTTAAACAGATCTCAACAGTCCCGCGGCCCAATGAAGCTTCACGGACAAGGCACCCATCCACTCGCCAGTGTACGTGGCCCCGTTCTCAAACCTCAGTCGGACTTTCCGGAAACTGGGACGCTGAACTCAATGGAAAGGTCTCGAGACAGAGAAATGCCGGACCTGAGAGGAAAGCTGGTGCGGGCCGCGCTTCTCTAGCTTGCCATCGCTGGGATACTTTCCCTGCGTGGTTGCTCTCTACGTCTACCGGCAAAATTCCCGACTTCAAAATGCAATTTGTGATGGGTCAGATGCAACTTTCCAGTCAAGCCGAGCCTGCACCTCGACAGCATTTCCTTCCGCGCCGGTGCAAAAGGTGCACCCCGCATTGTTGTTCCTTGGCACGGCGATCAGACACCCCAAAAGACTCTCAAACAAGCACCGCTTCCGGGACGTGAACCCCATTTGGCCGGGAACGAACGCCAGTGGCCCACGTCAACTAAGAGCCAGAACTTGCAGTGAGCATAACACGCGAACTGTGTGTCTGCCTGCGTGCTCCTTGCAGTCTCAGCTGGAGATTGGTGGCTTTGGCTCCGACGGCGGTAGACAATGAAGACCCTCTCAACGCATCTACCTTATCGCACCTGGGGCCACCAGCTGCTGGATGAGGGGAGGGAAAACCACAAACGTTCATGTCATGTTCGTGCTGTGTCAGACGTGGCAGGACCGTTTACACCTTGCAGAACATCACCATCACCAATGTTCATTTTGCAAGAGTTGACTTCGTCTGGAAAACGAGAAGCAGCACTACCGCGAGAATCCCGTGTACCGACTTTCGGCGATGAGCTTTCAGACCACTCTGTGAGTGTGAGTGTGAGTGTGTGTGTGAGAGAGAGAGAGAGAGAGAGAGAGAGAGAGAGAGAGAGAGACTGTGTGTGTGTGTGTGTGTGTATGTGTGTATGTATCTGTATATATCTGTATGTATCTGTATGTATCCGTATGTACCTGTATGTATCTGTGTGTATCTGTGTGCATGTGTGTGCGTGTGTGTGCGTGTGTGTGACACTCCTGTTTGTCGAGGATTCTTAGAGATCATGAACATGTTTGCAGGGGGATGCCCCACATCTGACGAGTGGGCATCTAACAGAGAGGCTCTTCAAGATGTGCTGATACAGACTGGGACACCAGTCTGCATACCTGCAATGTACAGTGGCTTGAGGTGTGCTCAGGCAGAAGGACCCAAGACTTGGATGGAAGATCTGGGCAAGTGTGCGACCAGACAACTTTCGTTGACCGCGCAGTCTGCACCGGGGCTGCCCGGATTGTTAAGGTCATGGCAATGACCGAAATGTGCCCTGATCGGAACACCTGACCCAGGTCGGTTTCTCTTGCAGTGTGTGGGTCTGTAACCGGACAGGACCGAAGTCTGCAAGAGTTTCGATTTGTTGCTTTAAGACTGACGCATGGTTCGAGGCTTGTTGCTAGAGTGCTCAAGCTACAGCCTCACTGTCAGGGAAAGCTCATCGTGCACTGACGCACAGGTGCAGTTGCAACTACAGCACGATGCGACAGAGCAAGTGCCTGCTGCTGCTTTGCACGACTAGATTCTGACCAGATCTACCAACTGGTGCAATGGCAGTTTGAGTGGTTTGCGGTCGAAGACTTGTGATGTCTTACTTCTGAAGGAGCACGAACACATGTGAAGTATGTGCAGGAATTCTTGTTACTCTTCTTGAGACGGACGAGGAGGAGCTGTTGTTATTCGTGAGACGGGCGAGGAAGATCTGCATGTTTACGTTTGGCTGGATCTCCGGACTCCGAATTCCGACTGTTTGCAGGGATCTTTAAGTACTAGCACTGGTTGAGTGTTGCCTGAAGTGGTTGAAGCCGCAGCCGAGAATTTTCAGCGTCTGTCTGAGGTGATTTAGCCGCAGCAAGCGCTTGCCCGAAGTGATTGAAGCCGACACAAGTGTCTGCCTGAAGTGATTGTAGCCGCAGCGGAGCGGAAGAATGACCCACATCTGCCTGAAGTGGTTGAAGCTGTATCGGAAAATGCAGAATGTGCTTTCTCGTTTGTTGGACTGACCTGACAGCTCTGAAAAAGCAAAGTCAAGCCATTGATCCAACTGTTGAGCTTCCTGTGGAAAGTGCACGAGGCGAGCTCTGATTTGTTGTCTGATCTGACAGCTCTGAAAAAGCAGAGTCAAGCTGATCCTGCTTTGTCGTGCGACACTTGGAGCCAGCACCTAGAGAGAAAGAAGGCTCACGACCGTGGTGACCTGTTCACTTTGGTATACCCGGCTCTGAATCCGGAAGCTGGCGCGAAGGCCCGCACACATTCGAGCAGATCTTCAATCCAAGTCTTGGGTCCTTCTGCCTGAGCACACCTGAAACCACTCCACTGTACATTGCAGGTACGCAGACTGGTGTCACAGTCTGTATCAGCACATCTTGAAGAGCCTCTTTGTTAGATGCCCACTCTTCAGATATTGGGCATCCCCTTGCAAACATGTTCATGATCTCTAAGAATCCTCGGCAAACAGGAGTGTCACACACAAGCTCGCTGTGTCGAAAAGCAGCACACGATGCACACACACACACACACACTCTGCAGCTTCTCATTCAAACGGTTGCATAGCGGGAAGTTCGACAGTGCACAAAGTTCGAGATATGAGACACAGACGAGGTGGTCTATGGCTTCCAGTTTCGGCAAGTAACAATTGTCGAGTCAAGACATGGTCCAGACTATGGATCGTTTCAGCCGTTTGGCTTTGGGTCGGTGGTTCTAGGTTTGAGGCCTTTCAAAGTGGGGCTTCGGTCGCCGTTTGGTTCCTGCGTTTCAGATGTTCGTTTCTCGAGCTGTTTGGACGAGTCCAGATTAGAAATACGACACCCTCAATCCCAAAGGCACATGTCAAACCATCCAAGAGGCGCTTCAACACAAAAACACAAAGACCATATCTTTCTCATGGATCTTCTCAAGACTCCTCCCATACGGGGGCAATCCCTCCAGAATGATGGGAGGCAGCCTGGGACTTCCGCCAGGAGGTGGGCGAAACTGTTCCTGGAAGACACCCCTACTGGGGCAGCACGTTGAAAGCTTGGACTGCAGACTCGAGAACGGACATCTGCAGGGCAAACAATCTTTTCCAGCGTGACAGAGGCGCGTCAGGTCCGATCAGCCTGGGATGACACTGGAGGGGAGAAAGCACTAGCAGAAGGGTCTGGAATTAGTTTGAAAATTTTTTATTTTTTTTTTTTGGCATTTTTTTTTTTTGTGGTTTGCTTGGCCGATCCCTGTGGAGGGTTCATCGGGGACGTAGAAAATTTGCACCGCACCACAGCGCCAGCGCTTCGACGCGCAGGATCCCTGTGGAGGGTTCATCGGAGTTTCCTTAAAATACAGCAATTCCTGAATTTCCCAAGCGAAAACATTATTTTCCTATGGATTTTCTTTCATTTCCTTAGGATCTGATTGGTTTTTCCTCGGGGAAACACGATTTTCCTACGGATTCCGTTGTATTTCCTGAAATTTTCCCTGGTTTTTCCTAGGACAAACACCATTTTTCTATTACCTATGACATTCGTGTCATTTCTTCAGGTTTTCAGAAGGAAAACATACGTTATCTTTGGTTGTTCCTTGGGAAAATCAAATTTTCGTTGCAATTTCGCATTAGGACGGAATTCGTGTTGCAGCTGTTGCTGGTATTCCGCTTCATCACCTATCTTAAACACACCCCCTCATTTGGCGATTCTGGTTAGCGGGGGGGTTGGGGGGGGCGCAGCCCCCCCCCATTTGCAGACACAACGCTCACATGATGGGTTTCGAAAACACTGTTTGAATCAAGCTTGCACGGCTCGAAAAGCGCGACGGTGGGTCTTTCGTTCTTCCGTGCCTGTTCGTGTCTCTTCTTCCGTCAGCATTCTATAACATAATATAACATAGTAAACCATAAGAACGACATAAGATGGTTCGACATCACAAAAACCGTGTGACATTTTCTGACATAACAGAACCTTGCTTCTTATAGCATCTAATAAACATAACAAAAGACGACAATACAATATAACAGAAGATAACATAGAACAAAACAAGATCTTAGTTTATAGTGTAGTACATTGTAACATAGTACAATATAGTTTTTATATATAGAACATAATATTTGGTATATAATATAACATCAGGTTACATTATGCTAAATATTTTAGGGTCCATTACGATATTATTGCATATTCGATTGGACTATGTAGTATCCTATTGCTTGTATCTTTGTTTCTGTGATTCTTTCATGTTCTTTCTCTTTCGTATTTTCCAACTTTGCCTGTTTATTCTGGATTTATTTCTTTCTTTCGCTCGTTCATTTCTTTTATTTCTTTCTGGTGTTCTTTCTTTATTCATTTCATACTCCCTTCCTTCCTTTCTTTCTTGCTTTCTTTTTCATTTATTTCGTTCTTTTTCTCGTCCTTTCTTTCTTTCGTCCTGTCTTCGTTTCTTTCTTTCTTTTCAGATACAGCAATTCTTGAATTTTTCCAAGGGAGAACACTGTTTTCCTATGGATTCTCTTTCATTTCCTAAGGATTTGCTTGGTTTCTCCTCTGGAAGACATGATTTTCCTACGGATTCCGTTGTGTTTTCCAAGTTTTCCTTAGTTTTTCCTAGGAAAAACACCATTTTTCTATTACTTATGGCATTCGTGTCATTTCTTCAGGTTTTCAGAAGGAAAACATACGTTATCTTTGGTTGTTCCTCGGGAAAATCAAATTTTCGTTGCAATTTCGCATTTAGGACGGAATTCGTGTTGTAGCTGTTGCTGGTATTCCGCTTCATCACCTATCTTAAACACACCCCCTCATTTGGCGATTCTGGTTAGCGGGGGGGTTGGGGGGGGCGCAGCCCCCCCCATTTGCAGACACAACGCTCACATGAATCAAGCTTGCACGGCTCGAAAAGCGCGGCGGTGGGTCTTTCGTTCTTCCGTGCCTGTTCGTGTCTCTTCTTCCGTCAGCATTCTATAACATAATATAACATAGTAAACCATAAGAACGACATAAGATGGTTCGACATCACAAAAACCGTGTGACATTTTCTGACATAACAGAACCTTGCTTCTTATAGCATCTAATAAACATAACAAAAGACGACAATACAATATAACAGAAGATAACATAGAACAAAACAAGATCTTAGTTTATAGTGTAGTACATTGTAACATAGTACAATATAGTTTTTATATATAGAACATAATATTTGGTATATAATATAACATCAGGTTACATTATGCTAAATATTTTAGGGTCCATTACGATATTATTGCATATTCGATTGGACTATGTAGTATCCTATTGCTTGTATCTTTGTTTCTGTGATTCTTTCATGTTCTTTCTCTTTCGTATTTTCCAACTTTGCCTGTTTATTCTGGATTTATTTCTTTCTTTCGCTCGTTCATTTCTTTTATTTCTTTCTGGTGTTCTTTCTTTATTCATTTCATACTCCCTTCCTTCCTTTCTTTCTTGCTTTCTTTTTCATTTATTTCGTTCTTTTTCTCGTCCTTTCTTTCTTTCGTCCTGTCTTCGTTTCTTTCTTTCTTTTCCGATACAGCAATTCTTGAATTTTTCCAAGGGAGAACACTGTTTTCCTATGGATTCTCTTTCATTTCCTAAGGATTTGCTTGGTTTCTCCTCTGGAAGACATGATTTTCCTACGGATTCCGTTGTGTTTTCCAAGTTTTCCTTAGTTTTTCCTAGGAAAAACACCATTTTTCTATTACTTATGGCATTCGTGTCATTTCTTCAGGTTTTCAGAAGGAAAACATACGTTATCTTTGGTTGTTCCTCGGGAAAATCAAATTTTCGTTACAATTTCGCATTTAGGACGGAATTCGTGTTGTAGCTGTTGCTGGTATTCCGCTTCATCACCTATCTTAAACACACCCCCTCATTTGGCGATTCTGGTTAGCGGGGGGGTTGGGGGGGGCGCAGCCCCCCCCATTTGCAGACACAACGCTCACATGATGGGTTTCGAAAACACTGTTTGAATCAAGCTTGCACGGCTCGAAAAGCGCGGCGGTGGGTCTTTCGTTCTTCCGTGCCTGTTCGTGTCTCGTCTTCCGTTAGCACTCTATAACATAATATAACATAGTAAACCATAAGAACGACATAAGATGGTTCGACATCACAAAAATAGTGTGACATTTTCTGACATAACAGAACCTTGCTTCCTATAGCATATAATAACATAATAAAAGACGACGATACAACATAACAGAAGATAACATAAAACAAAACAACATCTTAGTTAATTTATGTCATTTCGTCTTTCTTTATTTCTCCATTTTTGTTCATTCGTTATGTCTGTATTATTTGCTTTTCTTTGTTTCTAACTCTCGTTCGTCCTTTCCTTGTGTTTTCTTTTTTATTTCCTTATAGCTTTCTTTATTTATCTATTTGTGTATTTTTGATTTCTTTCTTTCCTTATAACTATGCTTTATGTATTTCGTTATTTCTTGCTTTCTTGCTTTCTTCCGCTCTTTCTTTGTTTCGTTCTTTCTTTCTTTATGTTTCTTTCTCTCTCTCTCTCTCTCTGTCTTTCTTTCTTTCCTTCGTTCTTTCTTTCTTTTTTTTCTCTCTCTCTCTCTCTCTCTCTTTCTGTGTCTTCTTTCCTCCGTTACCCCCCCCTCCTTTCGTGGATACCTGTTTAATTTTTTTGTGATCCTTATTTAATTTCTTTTTGATCCTTATTTTATTTTTTTGATCCTTATTTAATTTGTTTTTAACCCCTATCCCGTGGTTGTGGTTGTGGCTGTGGCAGAGGACTAGGGGACCGCATGCACCAGGGGACCAGGAGACCACGGGACCAGAGGACCAGCAGACCAGAGGACCAGGGGACCACAGGACCAAGGACCAGAGGACTAGGGGACCGCGAGCAGAGGACCAGGGGACCACAAGACCAAGGACCAGAGGACTAGGTGACCGCATGCACAAGGGACCCTTGGCCGCACCTCGCAAACAAGGGTAGGCCGCACCTTGGAAAAAAAAAAAAAACCATGGCCCCTATCCCGCTTTACTGACCTAAATTCGCCTCGGCTCGGCTTAGGGTTGAGGGCGTGACTTAAGGACTGATTTATGAGGCTCTCTATGCCGAAGAAAAAAGCCAAGAAGCCGAAAAGCCAAGAAGCCAGAGGCCAAGAAGCCAGGGAAGCCGAGAAGCCAAGCCAAGCGCGCACACAAGCCAAAAAAAAAAAAATGCCCAAAAAAAAAAAAAAAAACCTAAAATAAATACGCCTCCCTAGCAGAATGCCTCTGTCTGAACCGTGGGGGGGTGCCTCGGAGAAAAGAGCGGCGAGGCCCTTCTCCGACGCTTCCGACAGACCACGCTCCTGCAAGTTGCAATGCATGCCAGCGGGACCCATCAGCGGCTCTGTCTTGTCAACTTACCATGGCTCCGTCAGCAGTCCCGTGACCAGACGTGCTGGTGTCACATCAAACCTGCCACGCAATGAGCAGAAACCTAGCTCTGCTACCCCACTTGCTACTTGTAGCACTCCGGTAATGTCTCGTGGCCTTTCGGTCCAATTAATCCCATCCCCCTGGTGATTCCGTGAGTCGCGCAGCCACGCGAAGTCATCTGCCCGTGTCAAATGTGGCAGCACCACGCCCAATTGCCAGCTGAGCTGTTTGCGGGGGTCAGGAGAACCTGTCAAGCGGAGAGGCAGAGAGCTTGGTGGCTTCATGGCTGATACTTCCCGAGCCTTGCGACGCTTGCCATCCTCACAGAGGCCCTGGCGCGCACCAGACTTTCAGTGCGTCTCTTGGATACATGTCTCAGAGGTAGGCAGCGGCAAGTCAGAGCTGAGCTGAGCCACAGAATCAAACTTCACAACCATTCCCTTCTAAGGTTTCGGGTTGTGTGCTCGAACTCCTTCGCGCCCACAAATTACCCGCGAGGCCATTCGTCGACACTTGTTGCTTCAGCTCAACCAACCCTCCTGCAGCCCACTGCCTGGTTTTCGCTGAGGCTGCATCCTAAAAGGCCCTAGCGCTAGCCCAACTTGCGATCTTTTCAACAGAGGTGGCGGGAAGCCGCACCTCCGCATACTTGACTTCTTCGTCACCACGCTGTTCGATAGGGATGTCTGCCTTTGTGTGGGCGATGCGTAAAGGCTTCTGCAAGCACAGGCATTGCAGGGAAGCCGGCGCCGTCTTTAAGACGCCAGTCGATCGTACTGGACGGCAGAGCAACGTAGAACCTCCAATCTCACAAGCTTCTGATGCACGCGGAGCCTGAGCATGCTGTCACTCAGCCATTTGCGGCAAGTTATTGTCTTTGGCCGCCAGGGCCTTACACAAAGACGTCGCCACAATTCGGGAAGGCATTGAGGCAGGAACGGCCTTCAAGTACGTGCCGATTTTGTTGCAAGCATCTCCGCAGCTCGAAACTGAAGCAACGCAGATATGACTCATGACTATGGTGACAATGCAACGAGAAGTGACCCAGCACGAGCGCTGACCTCGATCTGCACCTGTGATGACCACATCCACTAGTCCGGTCCTGGCGGTCGCGGCGGATCGTGACAGAGATCCACTTGCGAAGAGGGCCACGAAAGCTTTGGAAAGGAAGCATAGCAGGGAGAGGGTTGGGCAACTCGTCAAGCAAGTCGATTGCAGCACAGCACTGCGAATCACTCGTGCGGAGGCTTGGCAAAATGCGTGCAACAGAAAACTCCTGGGTGCACTGACATTTTCGGGCTGGCAAATGCGAACCAGCTTACTGCGTCCTAGTGGGTCAAGGAAATATAAGTGTCAGTGCTATTCACAAAAGACTTGTCGTGAAAATCACCTGTAAACGAAGCAGCAGCTGGTTAGCATGCGCCGGCCCGAAATGCCCAATACCACACACACAACCCGACGCGGGCGCCGCAAAAGTCGCAACACGCAGCGGCGGGTGCACGCCAGGTTCGTTATGGCTCACCGTGCAGAATTGTAACTTGTCAGAAGCTGCCAGAGCCAGGCAGATGCGTGCATAACAATCAATTTTTGGAAGTCGCGCTACACGAAAGTCGCCATGCCGCCAATTGCCCCCGAAGCTGCTGAAGGCAACTAGTGCCGATCTTGCAGGGGTCGAGACAACACGTATGCACTGCGCAAGAGCATTCAGGTAGGGCCCCCTGCCGACCTTGTACAAAGGTGAGCGGTGGGGGCCGCCTGGTTAGTGCCATTGACTCAAGAGTTTTGCATGGCATGTCCGGGGGCGGCCCCACCTCCCCAGCCATCCCCCCGTTTTGACTGCGAGAAAGGACCAGATACGGTCCCAAAAACGATTTTGACAGGGGTCGCTACTACTGAGGTGACTTGGTAAACCACAACTCCCACAAGCTTCACAGAGCCAGCTCTCGTGATCGATTTGACCGGATTCAGCAGCTCCTCATGAGATGACCACCAGCGTTGTCGGCGATGACGGTGTGCGCCACTCCATGCTTGGCCTGCCAGCGGACATTTTCGAAGCTTCGCGAAGCTTCTCTGCGAGTCCGAACTGACCACGCCACCAGTTCCCACGCAGTTAGCGAGGCTCCCTGGTTCCGTGGTCGGGTCTCGTCAACCTGACAGAAACTCTTCGTGAATATCTTCCCCCACCATTCTGATCAACTTGAGGAAGCTGCCCAGACATGGATAGGAAGACCCTTGTCGAAAGCCGCGTAAACCTCACACACTGCGAGCTGCATGATTCGCTGGAAAACATGGGGCAGAATGGGGCCGTCGCTGGAGACAATGCAGAACCTGCTCAAGCGTTTTGAAAGCGTCTCGAAAACCAAATGGCTTTTGTTTTTTCACTCTTGGAAGCCGGCCCCAGTCAGCAAAGGCCAGCCAGCCAGCATTGCAGTGCGTTAGCACCTCAAAAGGACTCTCGCAAACTTGAGAAGCCCAAAGATATCCAAGTCCGTGCCCGGATGCAAATTTGCAACAAGCCCAGACTAGGTGCCTCGCATTGATCGTCAGCTTCTCTTCTGGAGTGCTTGTAGATGCCTTCTTCCTTTGCAAAATGGCTGAGAAAGATCCTGGCGATCATCGGAGGGCAAGTCCGACCTCTCGTAGAGCTGCTGCAGGAGATCTGCCCCCGCTTCACCGATGCGGCGGCAGAAATCAGCATCCTCGGAAACTCCGGAATGCTCCCGCCACGCGGTGCCTCCACCGTGCCTCATCTGTGATTCTGGCGGCTTCCTTGCGAGCAGCACCCAACGCAGCCTGAAGCACGCTCTTGCACCGTGTTAAGCATTAGACTGCGCGCGAGCAAGGGCCGCTGCTTGGCACTTCGCGACAGTCGACAGCTCCCTTCCTATGAGTCGCTGGCCTCCAGGCTGCCACCATCCGCTGCCCAGACCTGTGAGCATGGCATGCCATGGCTTGTGGTACGCCAACATGGCGCAAGTGGTCACAGGGTCTGCATGCAGGCTTCAACGGTTGCAATGCTCACAACATTCGTCCAGGCAGCCAGCGCTTTCCACGGCTTTCGCAACCTTCTCAACACCTTCATAGCGACTTGACATTGACTAACAGTCGCGTCTGGCAGCCATCTTAGGAGGAGGCCGACTCGGAGATTCACTGCTGTCGGGCGAGTTGCCCGCAGCTGTTGTGAGGCATGCTCAAGGCGCTCCCGAACCTCACAAGACTCCAAGTATGCAAACCCAGCAAGGCTATCGCAAGTGTCAAAGCCTCCTCAACGCTGCTAGTCTTGCTCAGCTCGCGAAGGCTCAGGTACATCCCATATGCGGCAGCACAACCTGGCACAGCTCGAAGCAGCGCGGGGACTGCAGCATGCCCTCTGAAGGCAGGGGCCTATGAGGCCAGCACCTCGTACATGCATGTCCTACAGAGCGGAACTGAACCATCACTGAATACTGCTGACTGGCTTAACCAACATAACACATCATGACAACAAGCAAACCTTGATGACGCTGCTCATCTCATCCAAAGAGCGGACATCCTGGCATGTGAACCACATGCGACCTATTTGACTCCGCGTGTTTATCACAGAATTCCTCAGCAGCTGCACCTCTATCACGAACTCGTGTGGCAGATGCCTGTGGTCAGACGTCATGAGCACGGCTGCAAGATGTGAAATATTTTTATTTAGAAGGTTCGCAACGACTGCGTCAAAACAACTCCAACCTACCCACGTGTGAATGTATCTGCCCCGAATCTTTCTTCACTCACCTCAAACATGCCAGGCCTCTGATCGATGACTTGAACCTGGTGGCTCCAAACAGACTGCAAACCCAAAGACTTTCGGTAATCGGGCTGCCGACGACGTCAGGATCCTTCAGCCAGATCGTCCTGTACCTTGCTGCATGGAGCTAAAGCTGGCTGGAGAAGTGCGAGGAGCCACGACTTCCAGAGATCGAAACCAGGTGCCGTCCACTCTCATAGGACCTGGGCATCTGCCACGATGTCACAGCTTACGGGTTCAACGAGACGAACCGTCCACAGCTGACCCGCTCGTGCTGCAAGATCCTTGCAGCCCAGCCTCGTCAGGTGGCAAACCAGCTTGTAAGCGGTCAAACCAGTCACAATCTGAGCCCACGGCACGGACACTTGGAGAGACTACCACACGTAGCTTTGGATTGCGCCCGGAAAACGGAACAAACCAAGTCTGCTAGTTTGCCCTTCTACCGGTCTTGCCATGACCCCTGAATCTGGCAAACGAATGTCGCGCAGGACATCATCCGACACTAAAGCTGTATCCACATCCTCTCCGAAGGCACCCAGAAAGCTCAAGAACACGAACAATGCTCGAAGAGCCATGGCTGGGAAGCAGGGGTAGCAAGAACGAGTTGAAGATACTTTGAGAGCAAATTGAGCTAGAAAGCGTCGCAAATTCTGGCTACCGTCCGGCTTGCTCAGCTTGTTCTTGCTAGGAAGCGGCACAGATGCAGGGAGTTTCTTCCGCTGTTCATGATGCCAGGTCTGCTACAGCTTGCCCGTGGTCCTACAACGATCGGTTCTAGGACACACAGCTCTGCCAATTGGCAAGCAGAACAAGGAAAATCGGAAGCACCAGACTCACCTCCTTGGGCGGCCTGGTGCCGATCGGACACTCACCGCTCTCCATTCTCATTTGCCACCAGCATTGAGACCGCTGCAGGCCTTCATCTTGGGTCGGCAGTTGGCCTTCACGCAGTGCGTGCAGGCAGGTGCCTTGTCGTTGGTAATGCCTGCATGGTCCGTAGCTTGAAAAGAAGCATGACACACCGGAAATGCTTGAGCGCATTAGGAGAAAGGGAAAAATATTTCTGGGAACACGCAAGACCAAGACACATTGGTTCATGCAGTGGTCCCTCGAGCAGCCCACTAATTGGGCCATGCATGACGCACAGCCGTCCGAGTAGCCCTTCTTCTGCATGCAGTCCTTCCATGTGGCGGCTGCTACTCTGTCTTACTTCTGCTTCCTCATCTTCCAGCTGCGCTTCAACACCCTAGACCTTGATCTAGCCCCGCCCCTACCGCCAGGACCGGGAACAAGCGCATGCATGGCAAACAGTCCTTGGTGCAAGGAAAGCCGGCGGCGCAGGAGCGGCCGCAGTGGTTGAGGGCAGCATCGAAGCTCTTCTTTCCTCCGCCCTTCCAAACTCCCATGTCGGCGGCACCGGTGCAGCCGCCACCCTCGAGCTCAGCTTCCTCCTCCACCTTCGCGGACTCCTCCTCGTCATCCTCCAAGGCTTCCAGGTAGTGGACCTTAATGCCCCGCAGCTGGCGGAGCTCCAAGCTGCAGTCCTGCCCGGCTTCGCAGACGTCATCCGACGCCAAAGCTGTATCCACATCCTCTCCGAGGGCACCCAGAAAGCTCAAGAACACGAACAATGCTCGAAGAGCCATGGCTGGGAAGCAGGGGTAGCAAGAACGCTTTGAAGATACTTTGAGAGCAAATTGAGCTAGAAAGCGTCGCAAATTCTGGCTACCGTCCGGCTTGCTCAGCTTGTTCTTGCCAGGAAGCGGCACAGATGCAGGGAGTTTCTTCCGCTGTTCATGATGCCAGGTCTGCTACAGCTTGCCCGTGGTCCTACAACGATCGGTTCTAGGACACACAGCTCTGCCAATTGGCAAGCAGAACAAAGAAAATCGGAAGCACCACACTCACCTCTTTGGGCGGCCTGGTGCCGATCGGACACTCACCGCTCTCCATTCTCATTTGCCACCAGCATTGAGACCGCTGCAGGCCTTCATCTTGGGTCGGCAGTTGGCCTTCACGCAGTGCGTGCAGGCAGGTGCCTTGTCGTTGGTGATGCCTGCATGGGCCGTAGCTTGAAAAGAAGCATGACACACCGGAAATGCTTGAGCGCATTAGGAGAAAGGGAAAAATATTTCTGGGAACACGCAAGACCAAGACACATTGGTTCATGCAGTGGTCCCTCGAGCAGCCCACTAATTGGGCCATGCATGACGCACAGCCGTCCGAGTAGCCCTTCTTCTGCATGCAGTCCTTCCATGTGGCGGCTGCTACTCTGTCTTACTTCTGCTTCCTCATCTTCCAGCTGTGCTTCAACACCCTTGACCTTGACCTAGCCCCGCCCCTGCCGCCAGGACCGGGAACAAGCGCATGCATGGCAAACAGTCCTTGGTGCAAGGAAAGCCGGCGGCGCAGGAGCGGCCGCAGTGGTTGAGGGCAGCATCGAAGCTCTTCTTTCCTCCGCCCTTCCAAACTCCCATGTCGGCGGCACCGGTGCAGCCGCCACCCTCGAGCTCAGCTTCCTCCTCCACCTTCGCGGACTCCTCCTCGTCATCCTCCAAGGCTTCCAGGTAGTGGACCTTAATGCCGCGCAGCTGGCGGAGCTCCAAGCTGCAGTCCTGCCCGGCTTCGCAGACGTCATCCGACGCCAAAGCTGTATCCACATCCTCTCCGAGGGCACCCAGAAAGCTCAAGAACACGAACAATGCTCGAAGAGCCATGGCTGGGAAGCAGGGGTAGCAAGAACGCTTTGAAGATACTTTGAGAGCAAATTGAGCTAGAAAGCGTCGCAAATTCTGGCTACCGTCCGGCTTGCTCAGCTTGTTCTTGCCAGGAAGCGGCACAGATGCAGGGAGTTTCTTCCGCTGTTCATGATGCCAGGTCTGCTACAGCTTGCCCGTGGTCCTACAACAATCGGTTCTAGGACACACAGCTCTGCCGATTGGCAAGCGAAACAAAGAAAATCGGCATTTCTGTCTGCAGCCAGGCTGCACGTTAACAGTTGCTTCCAGGCATGGATTCTGATGGAGGTGGGTAGCATCTGTATACATATATATATATATATATAAGACTGCACAATGAATACGGTTGGGTGAGCTACAGTCCCTGCCCGGTTAAATCGGCGGTTGTCGCGTCTGTATGTTGAACCGCAGGGACAGCCGGAGAACTACATTTTCGTCTGATGGCGGCGATGATTTGGGAGTGCACGTTGTTTGGAAGTTGTCGGCCACAGTTTGTGCGTTGCCGCAAGTTGTAAACTGAGGCACCTCCAGATGCCACCCAATATGACTTAGAACTGCTGCATCTGATTTTGCACACTGGCCTGCTAGGGTCGGTAGCAATACATGCAGTCGTGTGCTGCACCCAAAATCGTCGAATGGAACCCAAATGGAACCCTGATGAGTTGTAACAGCTGTACACGGCTTTTTGCCGGCCCTAAGCACATGGCTGTGGCGATGGCTCAACAGGCAGCTTTGACGCAAGGATTCTCACCGCGATCGCAAAGGTATGGTGTCGCCTCCACAACTGTTCACAGCATCACAGTGTCACGTGTGTGTGTGTGTGTGTGCTGCTTCTGACCATCATAGACGACACCGCATCAGAAACTTCGGAATTCCAGAGCATTGGGCCTTAGTATAACACAGAAACAGCTCGGAGAAGCAGAAAAACAAGATGATTTGCTCAGCTTGGTTGTCAAGCCAAGACTCTAAACTATACCTCCAACACCTATGATTGCAGCCCTGCTTGTCCTTCCCGTCTCCGTGCTACACAGCTTCTCAAAGCTCTGTGGCGCCGATAATTTGTGTCTCTTTCCCACTCGTGCCCGGACCTTTCTTGCCAGCAGTGTGCAAGCAACGTGGTTTGTCCCATCGGCCAGCGGCCAACAGAAGGTTGGCGTGGCTGCAGTCAGTTTCCGGCACCCTTGTTTTTGGCCTGTAGAAGATGAGCGGTTGCAACAATATTCACGGCTCCACCTCACCCTGGATCCGAGTGCACATTTCGTTGCATGTCGCTCCACAAGGAAGACGCAGAGCGTAACAGTTTGAGCACGTGCATCTGACACAGTAACTTGTTCCTTTACCCGAAGTTGGAAATTGGTTTCGGGGTCCGCTGTTGTATATACATGCAAGCAGTTTCTTCCGCACTCTTAACATGGCTGTGGCGACGTCGTCCATTTGCGCACCGGTTGGTTCGGAGCCAATGCGCGGACCTCTCCCCAAATTGTCCACCACGAATGCAACTGCGCCTATCCCCATGCGCACTCGCCCGTATGTCTCGGTCGAATTTATCATAGAGCCCAACTACTCCACAGTGTGTTTTTGTCGGCGGGCCTTCACACTCTCTCTCGCTCCTTTGTAAAGCTAGGAGTCCCCATGCTCCGTTTGGTTAGTCTTTTTCAACTGCGAACAAGCCATCAATGAAATGTGCTACCGTTACATCGGAGGCTGTGTGCCTCAGTTGGTCAGAAAGAGACACTCGGACTGCTACTTCACTACTCGTAGCTTTCGGCAGCGATTCTATGGCTTTCCATGTTTCTGTTAGGATTGCAAATTGGAACAAACGATTCGCACTCCGGCCGACTCCGGCCCACAGGGGCCCCTCTTGCACTGCAAAAGCCGCTAACATCCACTAACGTGCGGCATTCGTGCACCCGAGAGTCGCGCATTCAATTCGTCTCTGGTTCGAGCACTAGCGCTCACGAGCCGCGCGGACTGACGCACGAGCCGTGCGGATGCAGATTTGCGTGAGGCTCAGGACCATAGGGCGTCCCACAAAGCCTAAACTTGAAACAACTCTAAATCGCAAAGACGTGAAATGAAGCCCAAAAATCATAGGATTGATAAGAAGCCCCTGTGGAGGGGACCGTAGGTTGCACTTTGCCGAATGCACGTGTTGCGGCCTAATGTGGCCCAATGGGGCCCAATCGGTTTCCCCATTTGCCCCCATTAGGCCCCATTAGGCCCCATTGGGGCCCATTGGACCGCAACACGCCCATCGGCAAAGTGCAACCCACAGGGGCCCCTTATCAACCCTTTGAAAAAACCCTGAAGACCAGCTGTTCGTAACCTTCGAAGTTAAAAGCCCTAAGCCCTAATGGAACCCTGTACACTTGTATAAATTCGCAAAACCCTAAAACTCTACGACCCTAAACCCTAAAATCTGCTTCTCCAGTACACCCCGCACCCGAAATCTCTAAACCGCTCGCCACAAGACCTAAACCCTTTCGGCACCTTTCGGTTCGCGGTCAAGCCTCGGCTCCAGCGGAGGCATGCCTGGCCCAGGGTCATTCAACCGACAGGCGGGAAAGGAAGAGCCGTCCATTCACGACTCTGTTGTACGCATGCCCCATTTGGGAGCTGCGATACAAGCCAACTTTCAATCCTATCAAAGGTGCCCTGAGGCAGCACAACGAAAGCACATGCCACTTTCACCGCGAGAGCCGCTGAGTCCGGCCGAGTTTCTTGAACCGACAGCTTTCCCGCCACAGCGTGGATAATGGCTTTGACATGACGACGAAAATAGCGAACTCGCTCACCCAGGGAAACAGTCTGTATCCGTAAGTCATCAGAAGGAAAGTGCTCCCAGTGCTTGCTGCGTTTGTTATAAATCGGAGGGATCCTCGCGGTATCGAAAACAAATGCAGCATACAGATGCAGAAAAGATACCCACTTGGGGCCACCATTGCCCGCAGCCAGAGTCTGTAGCCACGCATGCAGTTCGCATATGTATTCGCCCCCGAATCGGCCCAGATGGCGCGGGAGCGCTCCCGGCAAGGGCCGAATGTCACAGTCATAGCCAACCGGAGGGTCCTCCGGGCAACGTCACGGGTGGCCATGGTGGCCACCGTCCGGTGTAGCTCCAAAACTGCTCGCCCGCGAAGGTCCTGGACCACGTAGTCCTTCCGAACATCTTCCCATACCTCCCAAAAGGCTGGGTCGCGATTCCAGTTTGCCACGGTAGCCGCTTTGTCAGCGGCATCATTTCCCTGAGCAGCCCATTCCTCTGCCACATCAGAGGCCATGTCCAACTCAACGTGAGCCGTGACCTTCCGGATCGTTGTGCCAGCAGGGGCCCGCCTCGCCAGGTGGAAGACCCGCCTCCAAAGGTCAGAGTTAGGGCTTTGAGACCGAGGACAAAAACCATTGTCCAGCATCCTCCTCAAAGTGCGGACCACACCTGCACAGTCGCACCAAATACAGACCGGCATACGAGTAGTCACTGCAAAACTCAATGCCGAAAGGACACCCGTGATCTCGCCCCGAAATGCAGTTTGGATCAGCCCCCAAACAGGCCCCGCCGAGACCAGGGTAGCCGGCTGCCCCGTGGTCGGCATGCAAATCACTGCCCAGGAGGCAAGTCGCAGCTGTGGTATCCCAGGCAGAAAACAGGACCCATCGGTAAAGAGGTGCACCAGGGGCTCCAGGGTGGCCGGAACATTGAGCTCGCAGGTAGTGTCCGGGATGGCTGCAAGGAGCCGCCAAAGCTCCACAAGAGGAGCTGGTCGCATGACCCAGGCTCGCAGGGCCATGGCTTCAGGAAGAGTCCCTGGATCAGGAAGGCATGCTGCGGCGGCGGTGTTCCGTGCCTCATCAAAGCGCGGACAATGCCAAACACGATGTCGAACACTATCCAAAGCCCCACAGTACTTGCAGGAAGCACACTCCGTAGGCCCATCACCAAAGTATCTCAGGGCATCCTGAGTGAAAAAGGCACCAGTATGCGTATTGAATGCATGTTTGCAGTCAGTGGGGCTCCAGCCTTTCTTCAGGGCAGCAGTGTGCTGCGGGTCTGCACCAGTAAGCCCTGCAAAGCCGGGTCTCGAAGACACTTGAGAGCAAACCCGCTTCTGCCAAGCAAAAACCAAACGGTGCCGGAGCTCTTGTGGGCTCACATCCCAGAGGTCAAAGCATGAAATCGAGTCCTCCGAGGCAGCCTCAGCCGCGTTCCAGGAAATGCCAACGGCAAAGCACCTTTCCAAAAAGACCTGGATCGGTCCCGGGCTCCAGCGGCTCGTTGAAGCCAAGAGCTCCTCGATCATCGGCACTACTCTCTCCTTCAGGCCAAAAGCCCTCAGATCCCGGAAGGTAGACTCAAGGACAAAGTAGCCCGGGTCCGCGAGCGGGTAGCAGACGAGGCTGAGAGCGACGTCAGGGTTAACACCCGGCCCCTCAAGGCCAAGTCCTTTCATGGCTCCAGACCGCAAGTGGCCGATCAAAGTGTCACCAAGATTTGTGCTTGAGACGGCATGGAGGGCCCTTGGCCATGCTCCCACGTGGAGTGCACGAACCTTCTGGCTCAGAGGCGCAGGCGAGGAACGGAGTTGGGGCCAAAGCTTATCAACCCCAGCAACCCTACCCTGAAGCGTCCCATTGGAGCGAGCTCGCGTGGTTGCAATATGCCCACCTAAACTCCGAGCGGAATGGGCCACGTTGTGGCCCGCTCTGCGGAGCTCACGCCTGTGCAGTGGGTCGGTAGCCCACATGATCATCTTGGACGGATCAAGGGTCAAGTCCCAGCCTCGAGTGAATTCCTCAACTAAACCAACCGCCCTAATGACCGCATCCGGAGCCGCCCCTTGAAGCTGCCAGTCATCAACGAAAGAATCCAGCGAGGTGGTCTCGGCCTTTGCCTCAAAGCGACGATGCAAGGCCAGGTCGACCGCGGCCATGGCCAAACACGAGAGGGGGTCACCCTCAGCAAAGCCTGTAAAGCTCGGCAATGCTGGGCCTGTGGCACCACGGATACGAAAGCGGCGAGTCAGAGTGGCCACGGCCCCGGACCAGGCCTTGACAACCTTGGCAGGCACCCCGTAATGGAGGGCAAGGGCAAACACCGGTGCTCTGGGCAGGGTATTGAAGGCCTTGGAGAGATCCAGGAAGGCCCCCACCAGTGGTGTTGCCCCTTACGAGGCCCTGCCTCTCACGGTTGAAGGGTGGCGAGAAGCTGTTCGTGCCAAGCATGCCTTTTCCGCCACCGGTCCCGATGGTGTTTCTCGGACCGACCTCCTGGCCCTGCCAGTGTGTCTCACTGAGCAGATGATTGCCCTTTGCCACCGGGCCGAAAGCACCGGTTCTTGGCCACGGCAAATGGTTGAAGCCTCTGTCACTGCCATTGAAAAGATGGAAGGGGCCACTGTCACAGGGCACTACCGCCCCATCTGTGTCCTCTCGTTTCCCTACCGGGTGTGGGCTTCCATACGGGCTCGCCAAGCCCTGGCCCGTGTGGCTGATTGTGCACCAGCGGCCTTGCATCGTAACCTCCCGGGCAAAACCGCGGGAGCGGTGTGGTGGGCCTTGCAATTGGAAATTGAGGAGGCCGCCATGACGGGCCGAACCGGCGCCAAGTATCAGGGTCAACCTGCTCGTGCTTTAGCCAGAAACGAGACCAATGGCCCCCAAAGGCCCGGAACAGGGCAGGCAGGCTTGCAGTCGGGGTTTGCTGAGAAATGACATCCCCAACCTTGGCCAGGGCGAAATCGCCCCACAGCATGTCAGGCTCCGCATGGTGAACCTCGACTGGCTTTTGATTCAACAGGAAACCGGCATCGGCCTGCCAGTCCACATCAGCAGCAAAGCCCACCGAACCACACGCCGGGTCAACAGCAGAGACCTTGGCCGAAACACCCTCAACGATAGACTCAACAGGAGCCGCTCGGCCTGACCCTATGTCACGAAAGATCATCATGGGGTCCTTGGCCCGTCGCGCCTTGGCCTCCCTCTTACGGGTCTTTTGGAGATGTTTCTCCATCGCATTGACATTGGCCTGGAAGGCAGCAAACAAGGCCCTAGCAGTGGCCAAGCCAGGGATGCCCACCGGGACCACGGCAGGGTCACCAACAGAGACTACAGAGCGAGTAGGCCAATAGGCTCGAAAGTTGGGAAAGAAGCCGGGGGCCCACAGCCGTGTCCGTGGGAGAGCTCTTAGCCAGACTTTGGACAAGGGCTTGCAACCTACGCAGCTGCCGAAACCATAAGGCATACCCACGATCAGAGCCCACAAAGGCAGGTTTGACCTCCCCGTGGCGGCCAACCGGCACAACGGTGGCCTGGCGCACCACCACAGTAACCTCAGTTGTTTCGGCCCGGCCACGCTCAGACTTTGAAAGGGGCCGGTTGCCCGCGAGCTGGAGACAGTGGGAAAGGTGATTTTCATAGTGCTCCCAGATCAGGCGGTACGATTGAGAAGGATCGCCATCGGGGGCCAAAGCAGGGAAGACACAGGCAGGCAGAGGAAGCTGCATGTCGGAAGGCAATTGCCGAGGGCGGGGCATCCGCCAAATCGGACAAGGCTGCCGTAGCCCTTGCAGTCGGAAGGTGGCCGACAAGACAGCATGATCACAAAACCAGGTGTCGTCCACAGTGACCTGTTCCAGTAAGTGGTGGAATTCCGCAGAGACATAAAGAAAATCCTTGCGGGTTGAAGCTTTGCAAGTAACCTGTGGCAGCTGGCCACAGCGCCTGTGCCAAAGGTCCTGAACATCGAGGAAGCCATGTTGCTCCCAGAACGGGGCCAGCTGTTGGGCCTCGGGCTCAAGATTAAAATCGCCAGCCAGAAAACGAGGCCCCTGACCCTGCAGGACCACCCGGGTGGTAGCCGCCTGCAGCAAGGTTTCAGTCGCCGCCGGGGCAACAGGAAGACCATAGATGGCCGCACCCAAAATCCAGGTGGACCCGAGAAGGAAAGAAGCCACATGTAACCTGGCCGTGGCAACCAGGTCGGCTGCGAAATCGCAGGGAGACGCCCTGCACGGGAACGAAGAAAGGAAACCCACCCCGGTGTAATCGCCCGTGACGGGGCTTCTCGCTCGAGGTGGTGCCGGAGGGCCCGGCGAAAACCGAAAAGGAGCATTGGCATACTTAAGGCCGTTGCGAAAGATGCCTGTGCCACGCTTAGTCAGGTGGGTCTCAGACACAGTATAAACCCCTGGTGGCAAGTCAGCCACAATCCCATGCTTGCCATTCAATCCAGTGGGATTAAAGGCACCCAAAACAAAAGTCTCAGCCCCCTCATCGGGATCACAGGTTGGCCTCGGTCCCGGATGCTGAGCTTCCCCAAATCGAAACGAAAGCAAAATGGCCAAAAGCCCCAAGTGGAAGGCATCAGCCCAGCCTCCACTAAAAGGAAAGGGAGCCCCAGAGGGTGCACTAAGAGTCACTCATGCCGTTGGCGCTTCGGCCCCAGCAACTCTTCGATTCGGGCAGTCTGCTGCTCAAAAAGCGACTGAAAAGCAGCCGTGAGGGCGGCTTCCTGGCCATCCACCTTCTTGGTGACGGTGGCAACAGAGGATTCCAGGGCCTGGACACGCGCCCCTCGGACCTGGGCGGATAGTTTTGCCTCAAGGGATCGAGCCATGGCCCCGAAATCATTGCTAGCAGTGGCAGCAACAGAGCTCCGACCAGGGTTTGGCTTGGCAGCAGCTGCAGCAGCAGCCCACGGATCGTTGATTTGAAGGGGGTCCTCGGCAAGTTTGCCAGGAGTGGCAACAGCCTCCAACACGGCACGAGGTGCAACCAGGACCTCCTGCACAGGACCCTTGACCCCGGGCTTGGCCTTGGCCTCTGAAACCAGAATCTCTCCCTGCTGAAGGTGGAGCACGGCCTGCGGTGGGCTTGTCTCGGCCTTGATGGCCCACCACTGTCCATCACCAGATGGCCTCGGGATTAGGCTGGATGGGCCTAGCCTTCCAAATGCAGGACTCTAGGACCTTAGCAATGGCTCCTCGCTGACTCCCATACGGCCAGGGCCCTGCATGAAAAGTGAGTGCCCATTCTTGCTTGAAGTAAGTGGAGGCGGGCTTGAGAAGGGAATGGACCTCCTCCGCATGTTCAACCTTGCTGCGAACCCCAAATCGCTGACCAATCCGAGCGATGCCAAGGGCCTGTGGTGTGGATTGCCTGGCGAGGGTGACCTCCTGCCTAGTGGCCTTTGGCGTCCAGGCAACCGAGGGGCGAATGCTGCCGGGCTTCATCGCCTCTGGGCTCAAAGTAGATGCCGCCTCCCCCCGAAGAGCCCAGCAAGGTTTCCAGCAGGCCAGCTGGGACACGCAGAAAAGCATTGAAAACACAAGCTGCCTCAGCCGCATCGACTCCGACACGTAGGAACGGCCCCAAACCTCAAGCAAAGCCTCCGGGACCCCGGGGTCCGATGTGCCATGCCATTGTTCACACTGGCAGCCTACCTGAGTGCAAGTTTGCAGGCGAGAGCATGCCTCCAGCAAGGCGCGGATTGGCTTTTGTTGGACAAGCGACCAAGGCCCTGCCCATTCGTCCCTATAGATTGCCACCCGGACGATGGAGGAAGGCGGGAGCTCCAGAGTCTCGACTTTGGCAGGGGCCCGCTTCTGCACAAACCGGTCACCAATCTGGAGAAGAACGGCGGTAAGCAACATTGGGCCTTCGGTCGTCATGTTTAACCGTAGCAACCGACAGGTCGACCTGGCCGAACACCAAAAGTCCCAGGGCCTTAGACGAGACTGGCTTGGCAATGGACAAGTAGGCCTGGGCTTCAGCAGCTGAAAGGGCGACCACACCAGTGGCAACTGGGCCGACCTCCCTGAGAGAGATCTGCGAAAGCGGATTGCCATCATGCTCAAACTCCCCTTCCGGGATGATGACCTGGTGGGGCTGCGGAACCACAGGGCCAGCAACAGAAGAACCCGGCTTGGGCTGGCCTTTGGTCTTGCGCCTGGGCCCCAGGGTTTCACCGGACCGAAGTTTGGCCTCAACCAGGCCCCTGAGTTCCGAGGGCAGGACGAGTTGAAAGGGCGGCGAGCAGTTGTTGCACACAGCCTTGAGCTCTTGCCACTGCTTTGAGGACTGCATAGCCTGCTGGAGCTGAGGGGCACCAACTCGCTGCACAGCTTCATGGACCCTGGCTTCAACAGCGTCTTCCGGGACGCCTCGTTCACGAAGGATGGCAGAAAGCCCACTTTCCAGCAGCACATGAGGGCCACCACCCAGCAAGCAAGGGAACCTGACCCCGTCACGGGTATCAAGCCCGGCAACAAAAGGCCCAAGAGCATTCCCAATTGACTGAACAGCCTCGGTCGAGGTGAGGTAGGCGGCCGAATGCAGCCGGGCCCGGAGATCAGCCAAGGCAAAGTAGCCACAGAAACCAGGCTCAGCGGGCCTTGGGGCCTCCTGCAAAACAAAAGGCATTGACCCTGGTGCAGCAGGCCCGGGCCCACAGGCAATTGACACATGAAACTGCCTCATCAATGATGCCGCCTTGCACCTTCATGGGGGTGCTGGACCACGCCAAAATATTGCAGCCCTCCCGTTTCCAATGGAACGCAATCCAGTGGCCAAGGTGCCAAGCAACAGTAATGGCCTCTGCCCAGGCCGGGCACTTAGCCAAAGCCTCCTCAAAGGGAGCAGGGCTGGAATTGTGAAGAGCAGCACTTGCCAGCAGCGGGTCAACCACTAGGATAGCCCGACCGCTTTCCGCAGCACAGACGTCAAGGAGGAAACTGATCTGGTCATCAGCCAGCCACTGCGCCTGCCCCCGGAGGGCTTCGAGCCGCACCTCGGCAGGTACCTCCCCCATATTGGTGCCCAAATTCTTGGGAATGCGAATGGCGGGCCGAGTGTTCGGTGGCTTCGGGCCACAAGCAATGAGGAGCAGCTCGGTCCCTGCTGGGACCCAATCGCAAGCATGGAGGAGCCGGTGGTGAAGTACCGCCAAGAAGGACCTGCTGTGCCACATCAGGTGGCGACCCCGGCGAGTGCCACGAGAGGGGAAGATCCAGGGCAATTTCCCTCAGGGTGCCTGCACAACTCGCCGTCACCTTAGTGTGCCACGGAAGGATTGGAACCTCAGTTTTGCGAAGCTTGCAACGGTTGGATCCTTCGGGGCCCTGAGCCAGGGGGTTGCTGCCCGAAGGAACCGGCACAAGAGGGGCATCGGTCGGCTCAGGGAGCTCGGTGGCAGAAGAGAGGGGGAGCCCAGCGGGGCATCGCACCTCAGTACCCAATATCAAGTGCGACACTGGTAACCTCACTAAAGTCCCCAACCACTAAACCCACCAAAGGCTTATGGGCCACCAGTGCAATGGCAAGAGCTGCCGAACTCAGGTGATCCCTGGCCTCCTGTGCAGTGGCCGGCGGTGGGGCTGCAGCTGCCCTGACCACCGCCTGCGATGATACATGTATCAGCTGGAACCCGGCATCAAGAAAGCCCTCAAGAGAACCCTTCGGCTGCCAGCAGGCAAGGCAGGCCCTGCCAAAATCCCGCTCCAAACACGCAGTCAGCGGCATCGTGCGACAGCCGGCCTGATGGGCACAAGCAGGTGGCCCCTGGAACCAAGCCTTAAAGCCCACCAAAAGCAAGGCTTTCCCCTCTGTCGGCAAGCCACCAAAGCCCTCCAGAATAAGAGGCATCTTGGAAGGTAACATAAGCACAGCACCATCGAGTCGCGATACCACCACCGTAATAGTCGGGCATTTCACGGCCCACACTGGCTCAAGAGACATGGCGAACCTACCTACCCAGGCCTTTGCCTGCTCAGCCCCGCCTCTGGAAGGCTCCTGGGCCAAAGGGCTCAAGACCTAAACCCTAAAACCCTAAAAGTAAACCCTAGCAATCTTAAACCCTAAACTCTAAACTCTAAAACCCGTGCGCCTGGGTGCTTGAACTTCCGTCGCGCTTGGGTGCTTGAATCGCTTGTGCTCGAATTTGGCGGCTGTGGCCGTGCTCGAATCGAAACCGGCGTTGGAATTGTGCTTCTACTAAGTTGGTAGGATGTGGGGACGGGAAACAACAAGAAGTAGTTACCACGGCATGATTCAGTTAAGTTGACTGTAAAAACCTGCCACGGCGGCCGAGCACATGAACAACTGCAGTCGCTCTCTTTACTTCACTGTAGCCTTCGAGGCATCTCTTTCTTTCTGCAGGTGCGCCCCCACTGTCTCACCTTAACCACCACAGTGTTGACTTGAATTGACTGTATACCGGGGCCACCACCAAGATCTTTTCAGCATCCCAGGACAAAATCTTTGTACATGAACCACATTCGGCTGGCAGCAGGCCTTGTCGTTGCAAATTACCCATGGAACCATCGGTGATCGAGGCTTTCAAACGACGATTGCAGAGATTGGTCCCATGGTCAACGATCTTTCAAGATGAAAGCGCAGTGCCGCCATCATTTCCAGTCCATGGTCACAGACGTTGTTCACTTCCTTGGCTCCGGGTTCTCAGGGCCAAACAACTCACAGAGCTGAGGCGAGTTGCGAACAAGCTGATGTGCCCGAAAGCGCCGCTGCGGATCTTTTGCACCATGAGGGCATTCAGCTGGCTGTGCTCCTCGTCCTGCAGGCCGGGCTGCATTTGCATCACCAGGCAAGATCCACTGCAATCATGTGCGGCACGGTCCTTGAGGAGAGAGCTCAAATGCGCCATGCCAATCCTGAGATGAGCAACACGGACGTTGGAGACAAGGTGCCAAGCTTCTCACTTGCCGTGCAGTCCACGGCTCGCCACGGACTGCGGGGTTTCCTGCCACAATGCTTGCAGTTCTGTGAAGCCATCCGCCGGCAAGGGCTTGGATGCCACTCCCATCAAGTAGCCCAACAAGCGCTGGACCGCGAAGTCATGCCCCGAAGCACCGACCCAGCACTGGTAATAACCACCAGTAAACGTGGGAGCAGCTGCTGCATGTCGCTGTTGCAGCTGATGTCCGCAGAGGACCAGTTCATCTAACGACGCCTTATGAAGCTCCAGACAGACCTGTGGCAAAGTTCTTGCAAGACCAGCTATGTCAAAGGATGCATCGAAGGACTGATCAAAACCGGAGCATGCCAGACTTTCATTGTAATGCTGCTGAACACAGCCGTTCGCAACGAGGACATGACCACCATTCGGCAAACTCGCCATGGATGCTGCTGCACTGAGAGTGAGATTCAACTGGCTGCAGTTAGCCAGTGTCGCCAGTCCATATTTCGCGAGAAGCCCTGCGACTTTGGTGCTACAATTCGCTCCAGTACAGTCCCAATTGTAGATCAGCACAAAATCCTCCAAAGCCGGGTGTTGCTGCGCCCACTGCACGATCTCCGCCAAGGCAGTCTCGGCGTCCTGCATTATCTCAACATCACCGTGATGAAACACCACTTTGCCCTGGTCGGTGACGTGTGGCCGCATGTCAAAGGCACGTGCTCCACAATTCAGCTGGTCGGTAAAAGCATGTTTGGACGCAGGCTGCGTCTGACCCCAGGTGACTCTGGGATCTAGCAGATTTTGCATGTATCCGGTTGCGGCATCATGCGTCGTCAACATGGGCCAACTGGTTAGCGGCACATCTGCATATGGGGACCTGACAGAGCTGCCTGGTCCGACGGCCAGGGTGCCAATGCTCTGAGAGGCAAAGACTAGAAGGGATCCACAGATGACTTGCATCGGGCCACTGAAGCTCTCAGAAACCATCGAGCCAACGTGCTTGGGACAGGCCGTGACGGGCTTCTCTGGGGTTCATGTCAGCCTGAGAGAATTTTTTTATCCTGAAACACCGCCGAGTGCGCCCAAAAGGCTGTGCAAAGGATGCGCGGTCACAGACCCCGAACCCCTACATTTGAGAGAGCGCATGAAAGCTAGGGGGAGGGACTGCCGCGCGCTACTTCATTGCTAAACAAACTGAGCACTGCTAAGATTCAGCTACAACAAACATCCCGAACAAGCCCTCGTGGGCAGAGCACACTTGCTTCCCAGGTTTGGAACTTCCGGCACGCGGCCTCAGTGACGAGAGGCAGTGAAACAAACTGCTGCACTGATCTGCACCGCGCACTATGGCGAGGTTGACGACCCGAGGAGCGGTTATGCTATACTGCAAAATAGTTTCTGCAAATGTTCGGAAACACTTCAAGATTCAGACTGATGCAAGCAGAACAAGATCTAGTCAGCGTAGTTGTATCAGGACGGAAGAGATCGCAAGAGAATGAGTAGTGACTTGGGCCATGATGCGCCACAGAAAAAGCCCTGAGCTTTCGCAGGGCGGTGGCAAAGTGCAAACATGCGCAGATGCGCATGGAGGAAAGATTTCTTTCCAGGACTACATTCACTGAAGCAAACGCCAGCTTCAGTGCGTTGGTTCATTAACACGGTCCTAATCATTGAAGACAGCGAAACCTCGAAATTCTGCAGACCTCTATCAGTATATGTTAAAGACCAGTCTAGTAGCTGTCCCGACAGTTGCTCAGCGACTCACAAAAGGCAGATCGGGCGCCCTGCGTGTTTGAGACAGAATGCACAGATGCTTAATACATGTCTGTGCATTGACCAGAGCAGACTGGTCGAAGCCTGAGATTCATGATGTTGGTGGTCTGCTGGAGAGTGATCCGTTTCTGCGTCATGCCCATGATCATGTTGGGATGCTGGCGCAGGTCGAGACGGATCAAGACGAGGCAGCAAAGAGTACTAGTAAGACTAGTACGACCAGCTAACCATGATGCCATGCTGAAACAGGCCAGGGAAGCTGTCTTTGGGCTCCAGCGGCAATCGCCCCACCCCGCAACGGAAAGACGCAGCGGAGCTGAGCTCTGCTGGAACCCCTGGGCACAACCGGGCAGGGTGTCACAGCTGAAGGACATATCTGGCTCCGTGTCTGACTTCGCATGGCACCTGCAGCTTCGATTCTGTCTTGGCGAACTGCCTGAATGCGAAGTAATGGCACTGGACCCGAAGAAGCATATCTTGCAGTGACTGCACAAGACGTTCAGGCATCGGCGGATGAGTCGTCGAATCAATTCCGTACTCGCCTTGAGACGGACGAACGGAGCCTTTCGAAGGCCGGCACGTGCGCTTTCCGAGGCTTGGACCAGTCCATCCCGCTTGCGAGCCTAAGAACAACTTTCTTCACCTACAGGCTTCCGGAAGTCCTGACGAGTCCTTGCTTCACTGTCCGGGATCCAGACGGGCAGAGCTTGCACGAGACGGTGGCTCGGAGAGGTTCCTGATAGCCCACAAAATTCAGCAGTACCAGTGCCGTTGCCACAGGGTGACGCTGCTACCACTGCTGCCTGCCTTTGTGTCCGGGCTGGCACCTCCGAGAAGTCTCTAGGCTTCGGCCGCGTCATAAAGCCTGCAATGAAAGACAACCATCTGCCGTTCCTCCTTCCTGCAGAAGCGTGACAGGCGTGCCGAAGTCGTGCTCGTAGGTGCTCAGCATCTCATGTCTGTCGGCCATCTTGCGCAGATGGTGCTTTACGGCCGCAGTCCTGCAAGACAACAAGGCTCCGGTCGTTCAGGGTGGAGAACACACCACATAGCGCCTGTGCATGTGCTGATGGCTCTCGGTCTCGCGGATGTGCCGCGGGTAGACCTGCAATGACGTGACGCGCCTCACTCTCGAATGGAGACTGTGTTGGAAGACTGCTCCTGGACATCGCGAACAAGACGGCCACCGCCCCGTGCGTCATGCCACTCACCGGCCTCAATAGTTGGACAAGGCAAGCGGCGCCACAATATACTACATGCCACAATATGCTGCGGTTGAAATTGCACACAGTCCCTGCGACAGCAAGTAGACTCAGCCCGAATCTGTTTGCTGATGATCTTTCCCTCTGGGAAAAAGCCTGGAACAGAACTGTGATTTACAGCCGCTCACTTGCCTCGAAAAAGATATAAAATCGAAGCAATGGTCTGGTACGACCGAGACCGTTGCGGCGCGACCGTATTCACGCAGATCTGAGAAATGAAGGTGGAAGCACAAGCTCAACAAGGCAGATTGCCACACCGGTGTCCATGGGCGAAAACTCGCACATCGTCTCAGGACGCAGCAGCCTGTGGCGCCAGCCCCGACGGGTTGGTCATCGGAGCCTCCGGAAAAGTTTAGTCTGCTCCGTGCCGCTCTTCAAGTGCCCGCGTCGGAAGACGGCACTTCGCCTGCGCCCTGCACCTGACGCTGTCACACAGAGAACCCGCACTCTTTGGACCTCTACATGTCTGAGCCAAGACAGTTCTGCGACAACCACTGCCTGAAATTGTGTCGGGCTCAGTCCGCTTTGAAGCTTTGACTCAGAAAGTGCGCAGTCTTTGTGCCGCTGCCGGGAACGGTGCGAAGCCCCATTGCAGTCGTGAGCCGGGCTCCATCTGCCGTCTGTCAAGTCTTCGGCTCAAGAGCCTTGCCCTGCACGGAGACGGCGGCGAGCATACTTCGTCTGGCAACGAGTCCAACATGTCTACGATGCCGTTAGGATCAAGGGCACGAAGTATGCAAACGAATTGAAGAAGCGATGTGTGGCAGACTGTAGCGTACACGGCTCGAGCGCGTGACCGGTAAGACACTCAAACCGGCACAGTCGTTCTGGTGTTCTGGTGGTGTTAGCAAGTCCCAGCCAACCGCTCAAGCATTAGCTGCAAGCACGATCAGCCCGAAGCCATCGGCGCAAAGCTCACCCAGACTTTCCCAACACCTTCTCCTGGCACAGTGTGCACACAAGGACTGGACTTTGAAGCAAGTCCCTGGTGCCTGCCAAATCTGCGCCGATTTGGAAAACATCATGTCATAGAGCGGCTTGATGCTGGCATCCTATCAGCTGCACCCCGGCGGTTGCAATTATCTTCAAGCCGAGCAGTTCCAAGCGAGTCCTGGTAGGTGCCCACGCAAACACCTGCTAGTTACTGCTAGTTTTCCATGCAAAACACCAAGAAATACGGCACTGCAGAAGCGAGTCAAGCCAGCTGAGCTTCGTGCCGGTGCAGAAGCCAAGCACCATCATGCTGAACATCGCCTCCAAAGTTCCCACGAATTCTGCTCATCAACCCGTGAGAATCCGAAGTCCGTGCCTCGAAATCGAGCCCCTGCTAATGGACAAAAGGCGACGTAATCTGATCTTCTGCTAAAGCACGCTCGCTTGAGGCAGGCGCGTGTATCATGCCAGTTGCTTGCTTCAGCCACCTGATCCTTGTCGTGACGGACAGCCTCGTCTCATTTTTCTGCGTCAGCGAGCCCCTTCACGTCCGCGACCCCAATACTGCAGCGAAACCATAACCCTCTAGACGTGCAGCAGTATGAGAATTATGCGCATCCGATGGCTGGATCTTGAAGCAGCAAGTCCAGCCCAGATGCGATGCCATGCCATGAATCCACTATTCACACAAGGCAAAAGTGGCGTGCTCTTTGGCAGCCAATGCTGCATCGCAGCAAACAATCGCTAGTCATCTCCCTCAGTATCCTGCATGGCATCCTCACCACCTAAGACTTGAGTCATCGCAAGCGACATAGGCTAAAGGACTCCAAAAGAAACTATAAACAAGAATTGAACCAAGACTCGGCAAGTACCATGCTCATCATTGAAGGCCCGGTGTTTTAGCCCTTGCTCTGCATTGTGTGTCGGCTTCACTCTTCGCAGAGCACCTGGCCACATCGTAATTCCATCTTTGGTCCGCTACATTGCACCAACCAACCCCAACTCCCGAGCCAAATACATGATAACCACCTTCACAAAAGAGAGGAAGCAATAGTTGCTGCTGAGACGCAATCGAAGTCATGTCTTGCTATATCTCGCGGTCCTCTGTGAGCCTTGTAGTTTCGAAAGTTACACAAGCGAGCAAAGCTTGTCTGGTCGAGGTGTGTAGGAAGCCGATGGCCACAGCGGAAAGACCGATTGGCACATGGAGAGTTGGCCACAGGATTCACGCATCACGGATTCGAGTACTGGGAATGGGGATTTCTGAATGCATGATTCCTGCACTTTTGGGCTGCCGTATGCAAGTGAATAAACCTGAGGCGAGCCAGCTGTGAGGAGGGTCTTGCACGTTGGCAGCCCCACTGGACGGCTCCAAGACAGACGGTCTACAGCTAGTCTGTGAGTCTTTAGATACCCGTCGGGGAAGGTACGGCTGTGAGAGGGAGGCGGAGTCGTGGACTTCAAAAGCCATTGCCACATTACCCCGGTACACTCTCTGTCCAGTTGGCCCTTCGTCTACCCACCCTTAGTTCAGCACCTATGGGACCACCTCTGCACTGAAAACTGCTTTTCAACATGCAAAACAACAGTCCTTTTGTCATCGAAGAATGTGCCCCAAAAGTTTCAGCCGTGCTGATGTGTGTGGCGGTTGCTCTGTGAGGGAGTGGACCTCCTAGTTCGCGCATGTTCTTGACGTCGGAGCGAGGACTTCGATGTAGTATGTGGGGCTGGGGTGCAGGATTTTCCTCTGGCTCTGCGGGCGAAAGTCTCAAGGCGGTTGTAGTCACTGGTGGTCATTGCTGATTGCTGCAGACTCTAATTAACCTGCAGGTCACCAGTGGGATGAAGATGCGTTGTAGATGCGCAGCTTCCACTTCAGTGTGCGGTCGGTGTTGCGCCAAACTTGGTGCGCGTGGGGAAGTTGGATTCCCGCACTACGTGTAGAGCGCAGGACGCACACGCCACAATAGCCATCACTAAAAGTGTTGGGCACCGAAGCTGCTGGAATGAAACGATATA